CAACTGAGGCAGAAGGACATCGACGAAAATCGACTATAAGCCTTGGTGTTTACGTTTGGTATCTACGACCCATGATTTCCTTACCACAAGTTCCATGTGATATTCTAGGCAAAGGCTTTAACCTTTTCCTCTTTTACTATTAAGTGGTCGTCCTTAGTTTCTGAGATATTATAATGGCCTGTAATGTTACATTAACTATAAATTTAATAATTTATACATATTTTACAAACGATAGTTATTTAATAACGAGTCATCAAATAATAATTATTTATTACAAACTGGAAAACATACCGATATCTTCGTTGATTTTAGTTCTTTATAACATTTATAAAAGGCAGAAGTTATTCGAAGCTGCTTCAAGCAGCAGAACTCGATATTACAACAATTTTCAACCGTTGATTAAAACATTCCAACCAACAGTTTCATTCTTGTCCATTTAAATTTACCATCGTAAAGTCACAAAGTTACTTGTTCAATGCCCATACGACGATGAAGCTTTCCTTCTTCAAAGTCGACATCCTAAACGATCGCCCAAAAGCGCTTCCGTTCCACAGTCTCACAATCCAATTACAGTTCGGAATCGGCTATGGCGGGAGACGGCCCCGATTAAAAGGGGCGCACTTTGTGCGTCGCTAACAAGTGGCGCCACGCGAAAATCCTCGCCTCGTTAAAATTACGTCAAAGGGGTTACTACGTTCTCCCCTCCGAATTCGTTGTCGAAAATGAATTCCTTATTCTCAGTCTCGAGAGCAGTATACGAGTTCAAAAGTTCTTTGCCAGAGCTATAAAGTCAAGACATTAGAGAAAACGTTCTTGTAAGATTGAATACGGTAGCGAAGTGCTTTTCTTTCTTGGATATTAATTACGAAGATTCAGTAACGAAGCGAAGAAAAATCGGTGTGTATAATATTGTTGTGAGCTTACCATAAATTTTCCCTCATATGTCTTGTTATTTGAGAAAAAGACTGGCAGGGTTTGAAAATATTGATTGATTAATAATTAACTGTCGTCAATAAAAGTAAAATAATTAGTACAGAATTTTAAAGAAATAGCGTAAAATATATTAATGTAGTATACACAATAGATACATTACCATCTGATTCATCCTTGTATTGATTCGCGTCTGTCAACATTCAAAGTTCGTCTTATAATGCCAATTTATTCTCTCTAAGCTGTGGCTGCATCAATGTCGGAAACAATAATGTTTCATTTCGATTGTGTAGGTAACTGAAACTAATAAATATCTAGAAAGTATCTGAAATACTCTAATGTACTGTAGAACATGTTTTTATTAATGATTAAATACTGTCAGTGATTACTTTTGAAATGTAGTTTATTACCCTAAAAAAGAATTAAGTTTGGTGATCAAAGTTATTAATCATGATAAGCTGTATCAGAAAATCGAGGAAGTTGATCAAGCATGATAATGAAATTTCGATTCATGAACACTTTCAAACTGGCCGACGTGTACAGACTCCTTTGTTCTGTCAGTGAAATTATGATTCATAACGAATCATGGTTTCAACTTGGCTGCGTTAAAAAAGAAATTTACAATGAATCAACAGTACAACAGTCAATTCATACATTGAATATGTATCCAATCATCTTGAGCTTATCATCAGCGTCATAAATATAAAAAAAGATATTGCAAGATGAAATAATGACTCGATAACTATGTTTTTTATAATGGGACAATATCTAAAAATACCATCTTTGTGTGACTTGTATATACTTCAATCCTTGTTAACATACACTGCAAAAGAAACATTATTATAACGTATTTACCAATACCCAACAAATTTAAAAGAAAATATTTCAATAATTATACTTAATAACGAAAATAATAATAAAGATATATTGTTGAGAACCTGATTGAAAAATTCAACATATATCTTATACATACCACGTGACAGAGATGGTGTTAATTTTGTGAAAAGCTTCACTGAAGATGAACCAAATGATGATCCGCCTTCCTAACCTTCTCACTCTTACCAAAAATAACCTAAAAGAAAACACATTCAGCACATACTTTTAACCCGCATCTCATAGAAGAGCGTGTCCGCAATAAAAAGCGGCGCATCGATGCATCCCTGCGCGACAGTAAAGACGCGAACGAGATATCCAACGAGGGAGCAGCAAACTGTTTGGGATATTTCGTTTCTGGCGGAAGCGTGTCAGTGTTATCTTTGCGGCCCGAGCCCAGCAACGTTCGACTCGTGGTGACTTTCGTCTGAATAATTCCTGGTATCTCGTTGACCCATCTTGGGAATCGCACGTAGGAGAGGAACAGGGACGTAGCAACTGGTTCGCGCGACAGCTTTGTAGCACCTCCGCAACGAAAGAAAATAGATCAGAGATGGAATGACGCATTACGCACCTTTTCAGAGAATACGTCTAACAGACTCTGTTCCGTGACAAATGTAAGAGTAGCAGCTGAACTGTGGATCAAAGTTGAGCAGTTAATATGATAATTAATAATAGAGAAGTAACGATAAAGCTTTCAGACTTTTTTCATATATACTCTACTGGAAATATAAATAGAAGAACATCTTACCGGCGAGCCTTTGATTGCTATATAGTGAATTATCGATTATCCATGTGACACGCACCATGTGAGTTGGCAAAATAATTCAGATGACTGTTAGATGTGCGCCACTGTCGCAATGGGTAGTAGTAGGAATACACTTCACTAGCAGTGAGTTTTGGAGACATCTAACGACCAAATAAGAATTAAGATTGTGTGAAATTTAATTGAAACAAATGAGATTAATTTTAATGCAATGAATCGGATGTTCTTACATTATTCGTACTTTTAATAGCGGGAGAAGGTAAAACTGCAAATGTAGGTAGATGAGATGGTGATTGATGGAAATTGCGTAGGGTTTGTATTAAACTTTTTGTAGGATGACAAACGTTTCTAATGACTTTTATTGTTATTCAATTATGTTGCATCATAATTGCAATATAAAAGTACTAGAAATTTTTATATATATATATATATATGATACTGTTTTGTCATGTGTACTACCCATTTATTTTTAGAAAAAATATATACGCTATTAATTTTATTATTGTCTGCAGGTTCTGAAATACATTACAGGGTGAAATTAATCAGGATTATGCGCGATATACCAAGTCAGCTTAGTCTACTTTCGAAAAGGTTATTAAAACACAAAAATGAGTACTCGAAAATAAGGTCAAGTAGTACACATACCCTCGTATGAACTTTTATTTTATTGTTCTTGTATTTTGAGTGCACTTGTAATCTAGTGCACATGCATTATAATAGACCTATATATATATCGAAAGTAAATCGTGTTAAATTATAAGTGTTCGAGTAACAGTTTCAACTCCATTGTTATGAAAAGATAGTAGATACTACAGGAAATAAAAAATTACTGGTATATTCGTACGTCATTTCAGTACGACCATAGTTCGGTAGAATTAATTAATCATTAGAGGTTACTGAGAGATATATTTTTTTACGCGAGTCGAATGCTTCTTTATTTTTCTGCTTCTATATTCCGCACTTCCCCATGTTTCTAATATCATTCACTAGACAATGCATTTCAAGGAAGCAACCTTTGAACTCCAAAACCATCTAAAATCGTCCAAAAGGACTATCCATAATGAAGAAATTCTTGCTCCACCTTCAACTACATCTCTACTTCACCGTAACCAAGTACGAATTCTAGATCCCAATAAAAGGATCCTGTTTCTCCGGCTACGTCAACAAAGCCACCAGCCGTGACGTAGCACAAGGTCCTCGGCAATAACTTGGAGCAAGCCTCTCAATCGATAAAGCCTCCCACTTCGGTCAAGCCGAAACCTGAACTAGTCGTTCCCAAGATCCAAGCTCTTCACCCTCTAATACTCTCACGAAACTTTCTCTTTGGTAATTCGCGTACGTTCGAATCGGCAGAGCGAGATTTTTTGGGCGTTAACGTCTTCCAACGTGTTCGCTAGAAGGATATATAATAACGCGAACACTACGACAACAGCAACAGCACAGCAACAACGATGGTGAGGAAAAAGTAAAAAAAAAAGGCGTTGCATGCGAACGAGTGTCGTATGAAATTATAATTGCATTCAACAGCGGAGGCGCTGCCGCCTCTCATTTGTTAAGCAAGTCGCGCATTGACGTCATACGTCTATGCGAGCCAAGCTACAGAAAACCCGGCTTCCGTGAAAACTTGACGGTATAGGCTGCTTTAAAGTTATATCGGTTAGTCAAAATGGGAGATTACGACTTTTAATCCGTTTCTTTTTCTTTAAATAACAATATTATAAATGACATTCGTAAATTATAAAGGAAACGTAAGTTGAATTCGGAAAGGAGAAATTTGTTGTTATTAACAACTTCAGTTTGAATTTACATAATTAAGGTCGATCACGCGTAAATTATAGAAGTATATTGATATTTTTTCTTTATGAAAATATTTAAATTGTAAATAACTCATTCTGATAGATGTCACTGGTAAGGTCAAGGGTGAAGGTGGTATTTCCATTTTGTGGGTTGGCAGAATCGATCCTTTTCATTTAATAATTTCGAAGCTCATATTTTTTCAATTAATTCTAAATTTTGTATAATTATTTAGCTCACATGTGAATCTCAATTGATCTAATGTCAAACAGATACCGTAAAATATTCAATTCACCTACCACTTACGATGTTTTTAAAAATGCGACAATTTTTTTGAAAGAATTGTTATAGATCTTATAATTAGATTTACTAACCTTTAATAATAGAGTTAGTTAAGAATCGTAGAAATCTATATATGTGGAAAGTATACGTTTATCGCAGAAAAATATTCTTTTCATCATCTTTCTCAGCATCCTACGCTTTATCGACCTGTACTTCCAAGACACCCCATAGTTACACTCAACACACGGGAGATGATACACAGCGGCGACCGTTTGACTCGTGTTCGCACGGAAGTCCCGAAGGTATCGACACACATTTACAGCACCAGGTCGTATTTTTCGACGAGCTTCGCCCGATACATGCTTCTACTCGCTATTAGGCCACTTGTCTTCCTTCTTTGTTCCTTGTTTGCTTGATCTCCTATCCTGGTGATTCTGCGTGGTCGAGAGGTGCATCTTTGCAAGTGTTACGAAGCTGGGCATATAGATTTTGATGAGGAAATGTATTATCGACGGACCTATTGGTGAAGAAAGATTTGTATGAGAATGTTGACGAATTAATAGCAAAATATGTATATTATGTTATATACCTGAGCTTAGAACGTTAGTGTGTTGTGTAGTGAAGTTGTTAATTTGAGTTCTTTTAGAATGTGTAACGATATGATGGATTCTTTATATCTGAAACAAGAGTTAGACGTTAAACTTACTTCTTTAGTTAGAAAATTAAAACTTAATTATTGACTTACACTTTAATCATATATTTCGAAATATTTGAAGCACATAATATGAACAATTAAATAATATCGCGAGAGAGTAATTAATATTATTTTATAAATGAATTTGCAGTAATGAAATTTCGCAATGTATTATTTGATAATTATACTTTAGTGTAGGTTATAAATACGTAAGAAATTTCTTATTTCCAAAAATAATTAAATCTATGTTTGCTCTAAAGATAGAGCACACTCGCTCTAAGCGCAAATAAAATACGCACACGTGAATCAGTATTTATCTACCCCTTTTTTTCATTGAAGACGGAATCGATTAATCGAAAACCGATCGGAATTGTTATGCACTCTCTTGTTCCATTCACTACGTGTACACGTTGTTACAGCATACGTTACCTATTTCCGTGTGAAACACCCTCTTTCTCTCGAGTATTTACGTAATGACGCGGTGACCCGTTTCAGCCAGCGCTTAAGTATGTAAATTGCACGGAATTACTATTGTGCCGGCCGTGTTAAGCTTCTTATTCAAATTGTTGCTTTTAATCTTTTCCCGCTGGCCGATCTAACACGTTTCGGAACAACGCTGTCTCGATTAATTTCTCGTACGCTTGATCTGTTTTCCATTCCCCGTTCTCGTATTTGACATCTGGATTTGCTTTGTACGCTTCGTCCCACTATAAGTATAAATTGTAAGATCAGAGACGTATTTTGATTTCAGGCTGCTACTTTAAATTAATAACTTGATATCTTGTAAAGTAATTATTAAAACATACGTATATGCCTTGGACGAAGTCAATAAGATCCACAAAACCAATTGTAGTTGTAGATGGTATCAATATAGGATTACAACAGAAAATACGAGATCAAATTTAATTTAAATTAGGACCAAAGGAAATTAAACGAAACGAAATTTATTTAACACTCTGTCACTTAACGATTACTATTAACATTGGAATTTACTTATTAATATTTGTTATAAAAGATAACTAGATACTGTTATAAAATATTAAAATCCTGATTTTCTTATTTTATAAAAATTTAATATTATTATTATATATTATAATTAATATATATTTCACATCAAATAATTTCTGTTACATTATTTTCAAACCTTAATTGAATCTAAGGAATGAACTCAAAAAATTAATTATAAATCACATAGTAGTCTCTCAGACATAATCTCAGACGATTACATATAATTTCCCTAATAAGTGTGGTTGTCACTAGCACGATCTAAACGATCTACTCCACTTTTAGCTCAGAATGATTTATTCAAGATACCGGTACGCGATTTCACTCTTTGCGAAAGGAATAATATACTTCTGTTGTATTTATAATTAATCTTGTTACTAATGAACTACGCCAGATAAAAAGTCGAAGGAAATTTGTCGAGTTATTAACATCTAAATATCATCCTAACATGAAAAATTCGTCCTTTCTCTTTGAAGTGAAAGCAGTGAAAGCCAAATAAGATTCGCACTTTGAAGAATCAAATCAAATAGAAGTGATACGTAGTTAGATAAGCAAAATTTGGTGACCATCTAGTATTTGTTAATTTATATTGTTCATTTCATTATTTACCATACAGCTAACCATACATAGTTATTTTATTTTTGAATGGAGAAATTTAATCCAGGATACCTCGACGTATCCAAAAATTTCACCCATTTCATTTTTGCCTACCTCTTATATAAAAGGATCGATGAGCAAATCGTCGACGAAACATTACTAGACAATTTCTGCGACTTGTCAATCCAAGATGGTTAGAGAGCTCGAGAGCATGTCGGGAACCTTGAATGTCAACGTGTCAGCAGCACGATGGCAACCTCACAGCATCGTCCGCTGGATGCGATGAAAAACGATATCTGAATTCACTGAGCGAAATAGTGTCGCCTACATAGTGGCGACACAAGAGCAGCTCATTCTTGCATGGACGTTTTACACTCCAGCCACTCTCGAGTATAACGCTTCGCACGAGTGCAACTCTGTGACCTAGAATTTTAAAGACATATTTCTTAGATTCGCCACTCTAACGTGACCATAATAAACCATAGCCTTCGCGCGCCGGATTCCAAAATGCAAAGCAAATTTACCATGAATCAGTTTCGTTGCCTTGGAATTATTACAGTATTGCTGCACGAAAATTACTGTCCACTGGAGTAATCGTTTAACCTTTCTAATCTAATCGGATTGATTTTCAAAAGCGTGACTAATTACAATAATTACAATTTATCATGTTAAAATTGCTTCAAGTATAACGCTATTAATACTTTATAGCAGTAGTTAGCTCGAACACACATTTTTCAAAATTGACTTCTTAAGAAGCGGTTTATATAATGATCCTTCCCCGATAACAAAAAATAGCCAAAGGTCTAATTTTTATTTTTAATACACCGTCAACACGTAGGTCGGGAAGTATTCATTTCCCCCATAACTTAGCTAGAGATTATTTGACGAATAGTTGTTTAGTAGATGAACGTCTTAATGGTTTCATTATACCCTATGCCATAATTAGTCTAGTGAAGCGAGGATCCATGAGTGTTTTGAAAGTGACTTTGAGCAGATGTCGAATGAATTTGAAGAAAAAAAGGCAATTAGTATCAGCTTACAACCAATCCCCGTATCTACTGTTTTTTCACCGAGAAGTAGAAAGACAATGAAATACGAGCCACGATTCTAGCTGGGTTACGCCTACGTTTGTTCGACTAAATAGGGTTCTCCTTTGCGCGACGGGAGTCGAAGTACCGTTCGTCAGGTAATAAAGAAAATTTTTGTAATCCTAATGAACTAACTGGTTACACCCATATCCTCTGTAGTTCAATAATTATATTGATTCTCTTTCATTCCAAGGATATGTTCGTGGATGCATCCATTTATATTCAATATCTTAAGTGTTTTGCAAAATTTGACCTGCAAATAAAAGAAAAAACAATTATAAAAGCTTTCGGAATAGTTTCTCAAGTGATAACATTGCAAAATAGTTGTGAAATTAGTAAATCGTTAACTTTCAAATACAGGAGAAAGGCAAATGTTTTTGCGGCTTACCTTATTGTTTTTGTATGTATCTCTGGATATTAACTGCTAACAAGAGTGGAGTAAAAACTGAATGACCGTAGAACTGAGAATGCTTGTTCATTTTATCCTTCGAACATCCTAGAAAGATATATAGTAAAAGTTATATCGCTACATCGGAGATATTACGTCACCTAACCTCAATCTGAAGAATCGAAAACATTTAAAAAGGACGAAAATTGAAAGATGTAATATCATGTCGCAAATCAGAAAAATGTGGAAAGGAAACATCGTTTGCAATAATGAAGGTTACCAACGCGAATTCGCGATTTTCTTTTTTCTCCCCCTTGTCACTTTACGTCTTGCTCTTGTCGCGACGAACGCTATTCACGAAGGCAAATGGGAAAGGTATAACGAAGCGCGCGGACGGTGCTCTGTTCGTTACATTCGCTTAACGAGTGTTTTAACACTCGAACTGTGTAACGAGTACACTTAACCTATCTACATTGATAAGCGTGCCGCTAGATTTTTGCAACCTTGATCCTAATCAAACAGATCGCGGCGTTAGCATCTATACCGTGCAGGAATCCATTGAAAATAACATTCCAAGGCATGTCGCCTTATAGCAAAGCGTTTAACCTGAATGGTTTACGAAAGAAAGAGAATCGTTGCACGTGTTACACACAGTTTGCCACAAGGAGAATACTTCTGCTCTGGCCCCATTATCTATTTTGAATCATCTCTTACCTTTCTGTCCTTTTTTTTATGAACTCTGAATTTCATGTCGCGTCCCGCAGATACTTTTTGACACGTTTACTGTGTTCTCTCGAGCGCCATGTGTAAATTGCCGATAAAAACGGAACCATACATATCGCCTGAGCGTCATAGTACCTTTTTTGCACCCTGTACAAGAAATATTCGAATTACGAGCGGTTTCGAGTCATTTCTATTTTTATGGTGAAAAAGTGTATTTATTTTTAGAAAATTCCAATAGGATCGAAAATTGAACTAGTAATTGAATTAGTTTGTTCGTGTTTGTTGAATTTTGTGTTTCCCGTACAAGTTAAATCGAAACGAAACGGATAGAGTGGGCATTGATTGCGTTTGACACGACGAAATGCATTTCTGGTATGAGAATAATTTTCGGAAGAGTATGTATCGTGCTACTGTGCTTAAAGTGAAACAGAACATGCTGGGATAAAATAGGATATTTTCGCGTAAAACTGAACGGTCGTGCGTTTATCTGAAATTTTTTGGAAATATAAACTTCCTAACCTTCAATTGGTGATGTACAGTTTTGCTATAGTATATGTAATATATTTACTATATGTTATTTACTACGTGATTTTATCATATTAATTATATTATGATAATTTATAAACAAAAAGTATATTTTTATTAGTACATTAAGTGAAATTTGTTCATTTATCACTTAAATCACTTAAATACGATGTCAATTTGACGTCATGTCTCCAGTTAGAGGTTAATTATAGAAGAAAAATTTAATTGTAAAAAATTCGAATAATTACATATTAGGTTATATCAGAAATAACGATAAGAGATGTTTAATTGGTATTAACTATAATCAAAATATGTTACCTTATTTTTATAAACAATTTTTAAGTCATGTTTCGAATAACATTTCAAATATGAATAACAAAATTTACTCCAAACAGTATTCAAAATGAAAATCCAATCTAGAGAATTTAGACTAGAATTCCCCAAAAAACTTGAACATTTCATAGATTGACCAAATGATTGACCATCTACATAATTCTCCAATTCGCGCACAAATTATGTATAATATCAAAAAATCAATTTTCACGTTGAAGGAAATTGCGTTCCATAGATTCTAGTAACCAAGTGAATAATGACCAGGAAACGGGTGAGAGTTTTCGATTGTTAGGATTCCCGGTTCGAAATTTAGCTTCTGCAAACAGACCTGGTTTCCGTATTGCGATAGCAAGGGTTGACTGTTTGGAATCAGTGCTCGCGACACGATGCATAATACAAATTGGTGTTCTCGCGTCTGGTTTCTGGTCGACGAATTCTCGCGACAATCGATGGTCCACGTTCGATTATTCCCCCGGGAATAGTGGCACGTTGTTATTGCAATCGACAGCCATAGGCAAGCTGCTGCCGCTGGCCCCTTTAATTAGTAGTGAAATTGATTTAAAATAAATTCATTCATAATTTGTTGAAAACATTCCGTAAACAAGATTTTACCTTGTTTTTCTCTCCACGGTTCCCTTGTGCCTTCTTTCTTTTCCTCTTTTTCTTTGTATACAGTTTCCAAATAACGTACCTAACCTCATTCTTCTCAGAAGCGCCTCTCTAGTGTAGTTCCACATATACCGTATATGTTTGCCGAAATTACATTCTGCGCAATTTCGATATTCTAAAATACTACGGAAACCTACTAGGTGTGCCCTCTATCGAATTAAGGAGTCCCGATCCATTACCATCGTTTCTGTTTTATCCGCGACGGATATCTTACCGATTGGACTGACACGAAATAAAATTAGAAGAAATCTGCAACTTCTTTATTTCTTTTTCACAATTCATTTAACATTTGATTATTAATATGATTTTCGTTATAAGAATAGAATCTATCTCGGAATAAATTATAAGATTTATATTATTTTGTTTTCTCGTTACTTGAAAATAAAAAAATTTTTATTGGATTTATTTCGATGATGGAACACAGGTTTAAGTAAATACTTTGCAATATTAGAGGACTAAAGTATTTGGTTAGGCATTATAAATCATGACTTATCGTATTTAAGTGTTATTAAACGATAATAAGAATATACATATACATATGCAGACTAATTCACGAGCAGTACAAGTAAGAAATTGTGATAAATGTTAATCGGTAAAGATACTTAAAGATATTTATCAACTGCACGCGATTTCACAATGCAAAAGAAAAGCTCCGGTCTTTTATTCCATGGAAAAGAAAATGAATCGCCATTCTCTAGTATCCCGTCACGATAATTAGCCAGAAGAGGACAAAAAGGAAAAAGGAGGCGCGAATTGTGCGTTTCACCCGGCTTTCTTTCAAAGCTCCGAAACTCGTCGAGCAAATAAAGAAAAAGGGCATGGCGAGGACGAAGGCCGCCGCTACACATTCACCTTTTGAAGCGGCACTTTTCAAAGCGTCACTTTATGAACCATCCAACTGCGTTACGACAACGCTCATTCCCGTGTCGCGAAGCTCCCCTTTCACCCTTTCGTGCTACGCCCGTGACAACGTCCACTAGCTACACGTGTACCCGTCGATATCTCCCGCTTTTATTATTAATCCACAGCCTCGTTCGCCCTCGCTGGCTTGCCTTTTCTTAACAGAACGTATATATGTCCATATTTAACGTTATCCTCCGTCACATAGGTCGCCCCGCACTCTTTCCCGCCTTCCTTCGCCCCCTCCTTGTCCCTCCTCGCCCCCTCTCTAATCGTTTTATCTTTGAGAACTAATTGTTACTGAACATGCGGTTGAACTTCTCCACGCAGAGGAGCCGGGAGGCCGGAAAGTGTTGTCAAGCTGAAACAGCTTTTCCCCCCACAGCTTTTTAAAAGCATCCAGTCGTGGATGACGCATCAGGTAGCACACACGTTCCCTCTCCCTTGCTCTACCTACGGCGTCTAGCGAGCATGTGCACGGTAAAAAACCGAGTATCGAATGCTACCGCATGAATAAGTCCCTTTGAAGTTTCCACCTCCCACGCTTCGCTCCGAAAAATCTCGCAACTTCAACCCCTTTAAACCGACGCGCCTCTCTCCTCGTCGTCTGTCGGCGGGTCCCCTATGCATGCCTTTAAGCCGGGTTCACACAGGTGCGGCCAAGTTTGTCTTCGCGATGTTTTCGTGCCGGTTGAGCCAGGGACAACAGAGATAGGGCGAGAGATACACAGAATGTGGGAAAGAGAAGAGACACGGAGGTGGTGCACGTGTTCGGAAGTGTCGCGTGGGACGAGCTTTTGTGCGAGATACCTCGAGCACGACGCATGGAAATATTTGTCTGGTCTATCGTTAGCCACGAGGTACCGTTTAGCGCGGATTAATTATAAAGTACGGACTAACGGCATCAACGTGTGCCGCGACGAAGTTCTGCATTGCATTAAATCCTATTTATGATCGCAGACCGGAGCCGACTTTCCGACTCGCTGATTAATTTTCTGTTACGTCATCCTCGAGTTTGGAGAACTTCTTCCGAATGTCTGTGATAAAATTACTTGGTTCATCAATCTTCGATAAATGATGAGAAATCTCCACTTTTTCGTGAAGATTGAGCGATTCTTCTGGAACACAGTGTAACTCTGTTTGCAGTTACGTGTGACATAAAAATATATAATATTAATAAAATTTGAAAGATCGTTAACGATATTATGATGGAAATATTTTACCTTAAATTTATGATTCTTATGTTTATCGTTGATTGGTATGAATTTTGTCTTTCGTTATATCTTAAATTCTTCTTTTCAGATAAAGCGCTCTTGTCAATCTGAAAAATTAAATATGGAGAAGATGGTGTTGTTGAACGTAACATTTTATAATAGAGTTAATGTTATAGTTGAGAAGTTCGTTGAAAATCTTTCTGTTTTCTTACTTTGTGCTTGTCAACGATATTTTTTGGCCTTTCTCGACTTCTGTACAAGCCACGATTAAGTTTCTATTATGCCCGCTCGTGGAATTCTATGCACTTGGAAGTTTCAAAGCACAATTTAAAATCCTGGAGTTGCATTGAATGCTCATTACTGCAGTTGAGTAAGAAACATGAAAAGCGTAACATGAACGGTAAAACGCGATACAGTAACGCGCACAAAAGAGCTCATTGTAGAGAAAAGGGGTACTAAGAATAGAATACCATGGAGTATTATTGCAAAAGAACACAATTGTAGAGGGAACGTTCAAAGAATGTTAGATGAAGTAGCGTTACGTCGAAGCAACGAATGCATCACCATAAGTCCGCAGAAAGATCGATGCTTCAGAATCGATCCCTACTTTTTCTGTGCTAATAACAAGTCGAGCAGGACAGACTTGCTTTAAAATAAATGTCTTAAGAGACGTTGCAGAGCACGTTCAATATTTCTAATTGACTAATACCTAAGTCTCTCAGTAAAAAATATTACCTCTGGTTTGTAAATTTTCATTCGTAATACGAGTTAAGGATAGTTTACATGGAGAACGAAATCTCTGTGCTGCATGTGACGTGCTTCAAGGGCCCCAATAATCCCGGCACCTGAGAAATAAAAACTAGCGTTAGACTGTTTAACAATTGATCTAAAATAGTACATCTGGGAATCTAAATTAATAATCCACTTGCAAAAAGGACATTACCTCGTTCAATTTTCCTTAATATCTTCAGGAATAGATATGTCTTGAATTTCTAACTTAAGGGAATTCTTGTCAGGCCAATAAAAATCCCTTTACACGGACATTTTCAAAAATATATACTTTAAGAAAATGTAAAAAAAAAAACGTAAAGAAAGAAATCGATTGTTTTAATCCGGATTACAACGATACCCCCTTAATTTAATTTTTTCCTATTTCTCCTATCGCATTAGTCTTCAAATAGACGAGATATTTCATCGGCTTCTCGAATAGGTCACATTCCTTAACATTATAAATTGATCGATGGTTACAAATAAATTCGAAATTCCCGCGTCAAGTTCGACGGCAGCGAGAGCAAAGGCGTAGTCGCAAGGGCACGGCTCTGAAAGGCTTACGTGCCAACGGGCGATTATTCGCAACCAGGTGACAATGATTTATGCCGTAGCAACGCTGGCAGCGGATTCTTGCGACCGCAGAAACCGCGAGAGGTCACGAGCTGCGCCTCCTACTCTCTCCTCCTGACTCTTTCTCTCTGTTCGACCGACCGCGAGTCTGGCTTCGTCGGTAATTATTTATGTTGGCTGGTCTTCGCGCGAGACGGTAATTGAATTTGCGTCCGTAGAACGGCCGCTGACCGTAATTCGTCGACCGGTGAAAGGGAGGGAGCAAGAGAATGAGAAAGAGCGGTGGAGGAAAAGAGAGGGAAACGGAGAAACCTAGACGATTAATATGGTCTTAATTGTCCTCGTCGTCGCGCGAACGAAACGTGGCTGCTGACGCGCTTAAGGCCAATTGAAGTCTCATTAAGGGAATCTTAAATCGCCTGGACGTGGAAGTTATGAACTCGTGTGGATGTCTTTTTGCAAAGGATGTGAAATATGTTCCTTCGAATGAAATTTCTTATATGTTTAATTAGTAGATGGATTTCAATTGGTGGTAATAAAACTAATGGTTAAAATTAATGGTTGAACGAGCAAGTAATTGCCTTTGCAAATAAACGTTTAACGCAAAATTTGAAATACCATTGCTCTGTAATAATACGAAAGTTAAAATTTCTTTTGAAAAATTCTTGCAGAAGGAAAGCAGGAAGAAAGGAAAATGGAGAAACATTAAGAAAACTAAAAAAAAACGGAACAGTCTCTTCGCGAGAATTTATAGATACGTTATCTTCAGCGATATCTTTTATCCAAGAAAAAACCAAAGGAAAAATGTGTAAGAACTAGAACACATAGTTTTCGCCGGTTTCAAAACTACCCCATAACTTATACAAGGTAAATTTACCTAGCATTATGCTATCCACTACACGTTCCTAAAAGTTGCAACATGGTCGACCATTAACCTCGCAAGATAAATCTTCGCCGCTACTCTAAAAAATTCCAGCATCCATAACCCTGCAACCTAACCTAACTCATATTTTTATCGTCCATAGAAATATTTCGCTTTTCGATGTGTTTACCGCTTAAAGGTATACAGGCTACGTGACCGAAACCTACAAGTCAGGCTCAAGGGTTTAGGACAGAGTCGAGACTAATTCCCTTTCATACTACGTGTCCCTACGCAAAGATAGATAAGAAGCGGGCCATATATGTATACCGTGAACAACCGTAAATACCTCTCATGGCCCTTTCCGCCTCGGGTTCCCTCGTCACGAAGCTTTTTTTCAATGTTCTCCGAGCGTGTGCCTTGTCTCTTCTTTCTTTATCCTTGTGACGGTGAGCCAAAGTGGCGGCCTCTGTTGTGAACCCTCGAAGTAAGAGAGATACGCCACGGAGGGGCGCGACATTTGCGATTCAAAGTGTTCACAGCGAGGAAATGAAGATTAAGGGCGGAGAGTTTAAACGAACGAGAATTACGACACGTGTACTCGTGCGAAAGGGTGCGGAGGGTGCTACAGATGATCTATAGCGGCAGCCTGCCGCTTTTGTCCGGGTTCATTTTGTAAGTCAATATCGCAGCCAGAGGCAAAGAATTGCCCTCGTACTTATGGCGTCAACTGGACAGCGACTTGGTCTAAGTGTTTCGCAAACGAATAGATTGATGGGTTAATGAAATTGTTTGGACGAATTCTATGACTGTTCGCTTTAATACTGGAAACGAAATGTGTACTTTGTTTATCGTGGTATATTTTTGTTAGAAATATTCCCAGAGCGAATCATCCTAATCAAACATTAAGTTAATTATTTGTCAATAAATAAATACATTATTGAAAAAATGTATAAATATATTAATGTGCACTATTTTTATCTATTTTGCAGATAAATCTACGCCTCATTCTTGTCAGTGGTAAGACAAAAGAGTTCCTATTCAGTCCGAGCGACTCTGCGGGGGACATAGCGCACCATGTATTTGAAAACTGGCCGGAAGGTATGTTATTACTGATCTTTATTTGGAACTATCGCTATAAACATTTTCATCGATATACTAACCAACTGCGTAGTCTTCCTCCCACGCGAATTCTTTTGTCAAAGTAAAGAAAATAAATAGAAAGAAGCGAAATAAAATTCACGAAAGCTGGACAATATTTGTCAACTAGAATCGTGTATTCGCGAGATAGTCAGCCGAGATAATCGTGGAGAACAATGGATGCAAGACAGTCCGATTAAGCGCCCTGTCGCGTTAATCTATCACTCGAAATTTCCCTCGACGTGATGTGTCATCGAAATTCCCTTATCATCGAGAAACTTGATGGAAGTGTCGCGTTTGTCAAAACTCGCTCATACAATTATCCATACAACACACGCACACCGGTACCAGCGTGATATATTAGAAGAACGTATCTTTCTATCGGTAAAATAAACGTAGTTGATTGTACATCCTCTCTCTATACAGTACTATTTTACGCTTGTATTTCCATCGTCTGTCACTGTCGAGCTACGTGTAGTATGGAACTGCTGGAATTGAAAACATTCACAGAAGTGTGTAGACCGTGAAACATCGCCATCTAGCGAGAGATATATCAGAAGCCCGGAATACAATTCAATTAGACACGGCACGACGCGAGATGGCGAAACGAGCGGGGTAAAAATTTCGGAGCAGGATGAGAAACTTGTTAGAGTGATTTATCGTGCAATGAAATTTTCGTTAAAATTATGCCGGAGTAAGGGAAAAGAGTGTGTAGAAAGGAATTGATCGATGGAGGAAATTTTTGAAACGCGAATGTTGTTCGTATAATTTTTTGCTCATTTATGAATACTTCGAATGCAATTATCTCGTTAATTACATAGAATTAAAAATGTTTGCTAATTTAATGAGATTTACGTTTATCGTTCTTCGAAATCATCTTATACGAGAAAGTAGAAAGTATTAAAACTATTATTAAATCCTTGCATTACCATTTAACCTCCGATGACGCGTGCCATAGTCAACAGCAATGTCGGACACGTTGAGATACGTCGAGATACGTGAAGCCATTTCGTGCGAACTTGGCAATTAATAACACGCAACTGAAACAGGAAAATATCGGCGAAAATTAACCACGGGCCTGATTGACCCGCGATGTTTACGTTCGGCCCCATCTACGACCCATAACTCTCTTCCGTGATACTCGTGTTTGGCTCCATCTACAACCCACGGCTGCGGCCCGTGATACTCGTGTTTGACCCTATCTACGATGCACGGCTGTCGTCCGTAATACTCGTGTTTGGCCTGATATCCTTACCACGAGTCTCGTACGATATTGTAGGCGAAGGTGTCAATATAACATAGCGATCATAAAATGAAACAAAGCTATATTAGTGCCACGTAAAATGAAACGGAGCTGTATAAAGTACGTTAATATTACCTTTAATAAGGTCAAATAAAAGGAAAATAGAATAGTATAACTAGTAAGAGGTTGTACATCAACATTGTAGCGAATTTCACTCTATACTCTTTTATTCACGTACGAAAACACATATACATCCTATACATAGATGCTGCTCTTATATCGAGAAAAAAGGAAGAGAAAAGAAATTGAACCAACAATTGCTTTGTCTCCATGCTTTAAATACTGTAAAAGGCGAATCAAGTGGGCTTACATTCTTCTAAGTAGCGTGTTTCGATGCAAATTTCCACGATACTTGAGAAGTAACCTGTTTAATATTAAAATGCATTCAGCGACCGCATCTTTTATTATCTCCAATTGTCGCGTTGGAATTACGTCGGTTCTGAAAGGAAGAAATGAGAAGTTGCACGGTACTGCTAGTACAGTTTCATTAACTTAGATGGCATTTCCCAGAAATTCGGTAATTAACTACTTCAGACTCTGAGTGTAGCATGGTGTTATAATTGCAGTACTTTCCGGGAAAAAAATTTTCTTTTCTTTTCAACACAATCAGCGCTTATACAGTTTCCTATGACATTTTATGTAATACGTCATAATTAATATTTGGAATTACGTATACGTAACGTATTTAGCTATATACATTATCAACGATTATCTGCATTTACATGTTATATAAAAACAAAATACCAGATTATTTTCAAATATAAAATATACTAACTGAAATGATAATCTGGAAATAAATTTCGATAAAATGTATATTTTAAACATTTTTTTTTTTTTATTTAAAACAATTATTCGAAAATTACAACCAATTGTCTGCATATATTCGAGGAACATATTACAGCACAACGTGAAATTCTACTCTTATTCTCGACTCCACTGCGATTCACCATATATTTTCAACAAACACGTCACGTCACGTCACATCATGTCACGCCGTGCCACGTCGCAATCTTATCTTTCACGTGCACAATAAAACCTCTTCAAATCCCTCTACGTATTACTCTATGCTTTTACACCGGTGACGACTAAATCCAAACGACGGGCGTTAAAAAGAAAATCAGAGAAGGTTCACATTCACGGAACGTGTGCCAGAAAACGACTGATGAAATTATCAACGCGAAGCACCCACGTTTTCCGGTTCAGCGGATATCGTTTCTTTTTTCTGCCCCGTCGTCCTTCTGCCGGTGGAAAACACTGAAAATATTCGAGGCAAGGTCGCAGGTCTGATACGAGGTCTTTCTCTTTGTCTTTTCAGACTGGGCGGAAGAGGCAGTCGCTAAAGCGGAGATCCTGCGGTTAATCTACCAGGGCCGTTTTCTGCACAGCAATGTCACGCTCGGTGCTCTTGGGCTTCCTTTCGGGAAAACCACGGTGATGCATCTGGTCCCACGAGAGAATCTTCCCGAGCCTAATTCTCAAGGTAAATCATTGATCAGCTGTCCAGGCCTATACGAACCGAGGGTATCCTCACCGAGGATAAACAGAAATTCACGAACTTAACCGATTTTTCAAATATTCGCCAACCATTTGTAATAGTTATTACATAGTTTATAGCAAATGTGTGCTTCGTATAATTTGCAATAACAATATGTACAATAATTTACGTAAGTACAATCACTTTTTCATATAAACAAGCCATTTACTTTCTCGTAATTATAGTTTTTAACGTGTAAGTGTTTTAAACGACTTTTTAAAGTTAAAAATGCGATTAGTGGCTGAAAATGATATCAACCAAAGGGACCTCTATACCCCATACGCATTACCCGTCCTAAAATAGGTTAAAATTCACGTTTTTAACAGATCTTACCAAGCCCCTTTACGTTTACATTAACCGTGAACTTACAGATTTTGATTTACAACATCGAACATAGTCTCTAATTGCAGACCTGTGGTACTATTGTAAGCTGGGGAAGTGTTAATTTACCTTTGCCTCAGGAATGTTTTCGATTGTCTCTCGTTGCATTCTTGATACTTGTAAGGTTTATATCTTTTATTTTATTTTAATCCTTTGCGAGGTTAGTGAAACGCGAGCCTATTAATAAATGATATACCTAATACGGACAAATAACAATATCTCCACGCTATATGCCTTACCTAACAAGTGTGTATACCCCCGCAAAGAAAGGGCAAGCCTCAAGATACAAGAGAATCCCGGAAGGACCAATCAGGTCCCTAGAGTCGGGTAAGGGATAGGATGGAAAGGAAAGCAGATACATGGACACCATTTATGCTCTAATCATGCACTATAAAGCAACATGAAAGAGGAATGCATCATATTATGAAAAATGAACACTGTACGGTTATGCACCGGCAGCATCGAAAGAAATTTGCCCGGAGATCGGATATTTATAATGGGGTTAATAAACACTTGCGAGAAAGAATCGATCAGCGTCCCATCTAGCGGCTAGTGGAGGACCTATTGTTATTGCATATATATACGTGTACTTCGCGGAGGTAGCATACGGTAAGGGGCTAGGAAAAATTCGGGAAGATATCGTGAAATGCACACAAGGTTTTGGTAGATTAAAACAGCAGTATTAACTGGGGATTGCTCACAGCTGTTTATATAATGTATTAAACAATATATAAAGCAATATATCAAGCAATATAATTAAGAAATCATACTATTTAAGAAATATTATACCTTTTTTCTTATATTGACTTCATAAATGAAAAATTTCACCAATACCTATTAATCTACTTTGCAGGGAATCGTTCTACTCGTCTCTTTTTCTTCCTTCTTATTTGCTTTTTATTGATACTAATAAGAAATACGATATTTCACGCGAAAATGAAATTCGTCTTGGAAAGCAATTATTTATCTTCTACAAGTTTATACTTAAAAATAGGGTCACATTTTCTTACGAGATAATTTCTTAATTTTATCTACAGAGTAAATGCCGAGAAACACAACATTTAGATCTTTCTTTTAAATTTAAAGGTAGAAAGTATGTAAGGGTGTAAATGTAATCGTACCAAGTCTCCTTTGAACTTTTCAAAGTTACTTAATTTTTTCTTTTTTTTGTTCCAATAAAACGTAAAATTCAATAGATTATATTAATACAAATTCGTCCCTGTTCTTTTTTTATTTTTAAATTTAACAGAAACGTATAGGTATCCTATTTCTCATGGCTCACTTTATATAGCAACAGACAGGTCTAAACGAGCTCACATTCGCCAGACACGAGGGTTAAGGAACAACCATGAATACGCTTACACGGTTACTTTATTTTATTATACACGACTCATGTGCCTCGCTGAATAAACATGCAATGCTGTTTGCACACGCTCGAACACATTGTTCTTCTTTCCCTGAGCGGGCTCGTTAATCCTGTTACCTCTATGTCTATATCGGATGTACACTTGAGATAGCAGTGATATTTCCCGTTCTCTATAGCCACCATGTAAATTTGTACTTCCATTTTCTATTCTTGGGTCTGTCGATCCATGTTTCGTCCTAAACCGCTTTTATGTATTTTCTCGGCAACGAAAAACAAATGAACAAATTTCGAGTGAACAAATTTTATTCTTTATTTTCGATTCGTTTTTTCACGTAGAATGTAACCCCTTCCTGGTTGTACACCGTTCCTGGGATAGCCTATATAATACAACTTAAAGACTAATGACTCTTCTAAAAAAGACTTCTGAATGTATCTCGCTGAATTTTCCGGAAGCGACTCGAAAAAGTTTGACAGTATTTTATTCTTACTTTTAGATTATGCCTCCTATTTCGAGACGTTTTGTATAGCTAGTTACAAACAATGTACAAAGCGACAATAAGAGACAGTTTTCGCGTGAACCCAATTGTAAGGGTTAGAATAATAAAATGTCATTTCTCTGTTACAGATCAGAGGCAAAAAAGTAAAGGCGGCAGGAGTAGTTGCTGCTTAGCTTCCTGTTGCATACTTTAAAGAAAACATTGGCTGCCCTGGATATATTTTGAGGTCGTTCCGTGTGAGAGTCAGCTCCCACGTTCTTCGAGCTGAGCCATGGTTTCTAAGGTTTCGATGCTGGTGTATCATTGTTAGTGGCTGAGCCTCGTGAGCAGTGTAGCAAAGCGAAGTTGTCGCACCCTTGTCGCCAATTCACCTAAATTAAAGGGAAACAAAAAGAAAAGGATTTACATTGGTTTGCCTGCAGCGCATGTTGAAACGACGAAAATGTGGTTTACCATTCCAGGTGAACGAATTGTATCATCATTGCTACCTTGTAAAAGAAATTATAGTGGAAAATTCCAAAGCCATATGTCTATAACGTCGCGTTTATTTTTGAAGGAATTTTAAACGTGACCAGAGTCGAGTAACGTGACTTATACAAAAGCTATTCCCTATTTCATTCGCTGCTAACCATATGCTTGATAACGATATATTTACACTGAAAATCTATTTATGAATCATCTCGCGACAGGAGATCGTCGAGGAAAGTTTTTAGGGATATCGATAACCTATTCCGAACGTGGACAGTGGGATGCCCCATAACGAGACACCGTTCAGCTCACCACGGTCCAGAAATCGACAGGAAATTACGCGACTCGGAGGACATCGACAGGTCTCCTAGTTGCTTCGTTCTGCATTTGCAGTCTCCTGTTAATTATACCATGTAAAAAAAGGGAAGATATTTCTAGTAAGATAAATTCTTCGTCGAAAAAGGTTAGGCTAGCAGAGCCTTTCGAGTAAACAAGGAGCGAAGGGCCGCTCTCTTGAACGGCGCTACACGATGCTTAGGAACTCAACCACTATCCTACTATACAGCAGCGTTAAATAGTAATTATTATTGTAGACGGGATCCGTGTGTGTGTGTGTGTTGCGTATGAATGAGAGTGTTCCGTTTGAAAGGCGACGGAGAGTGAGGTAGAGAAGAAGAGAGAGAGAGAGAGAGAAAGAGAGAGAGTGAGAGAAAAAGAGAGAGAGAGAAAGAAAGAAAGAGAGAGAAAGAGAGTGTAAAAGAGAGCGAAAGCGAGAGAAAGATAAATTTATGTTGTGATATGCAGGTAGTGAATATAATTATATATTATACATACTATTATTAAAATTATATATTATATATATATAAAATATATACATATATATATATATAATGGTATGAGACATGTTGACACGCAGTTAAACTCTCATACACAGGATAGACTTTATTATCATGAATTTAAAGTAATATTATGACGCCACTTCGAGAGTTTAGTGTCCTGGAATAAGATTACAGAGGAAAAAGAACATTGGATCTCTAATGGTAGTTATGACTAAATAAACACTCAATTATGTGTCCTATTAGCTCCTTCTTTTCATTCCACTCCTCCTCCGTTCTTTCCCTCCTCTTTTCGCATGCTTCTTCCTCTTTATCTTTATAGCCCGTTTCGATCCTTACCAACCCTCCTCCTTGCTTTATTTTGTTTCCACCCGTCCAATTTTTTTAATCGACCGGGCCTAGGAACGTCATTTATAGACCCAAATGATCAATTCGTATTATAGGCGAGAAAATATCCAATATCGCGAGTATCGATTATAGTTAGGTCCAACCAAACCATTTTACGATAAGTTGTAGCCTACTCTATACTCGACTATACTACTGTATAATGTACTATGACTCTTACCAATGCATAACATGTATATATAATATATATATATATATATATATAATAATATATATATATATAATATTCTTATGTAGTGAAATTCATCGTGACAGAAACGATGTCGAATGTTTATTTAATTTATTATCGTATGGAACGCCGTTCGAGATCGTTGGTATCTGCTTGACTCATAAACCTGGGTACCATATAAATTGAACTCAGCGCATGTATTTCTTTGTGATCTATTATATCTGTCTTCTTCTAAAAGAAACTTTTGAAAGAGAAAAAGTTATGAACGAAATCGTTGTTGATTCGAAATGTTTCCTACGATTTGTTTTCGAAACTTGAGAAATTAAAAAGAAAATGTTTATCGGACTGTTGAATGGTTACATTGAAAAATTGAAGATATAACGATCTTAAAAAGAGATATACGATAAAAAATGATATGATAATGACTTTATTGGATATGTTTTTATTTTTTCTTTTTTTTTTTTTTCGTTATTCGACGTTTCCGTGCATATTTGCGAGATACGTGTATTCCTTTTTACAAAACGATATAAAAAATTGAAAAACCGGTATGTTGAGTGCATGCAGATACGATTATGGGTTTATGGGGATGGCTAGCACTATGATTTAGCATTTTTAATAACTTCGTCTGATTTTGCGATCGACTTATCAATCATGATTATCGCTATTTTCGTTCTTTGTTCATATTTCCTTTTCTATTCCCTTTTTCGCCCCTTTTTTTAAGTACTATTAAGACATAGATTATCGGTATGAATGCTGTTTATAAAAGTAATAAATTGTTTAGCGAGTAAGTTTAAAACGTTGCGAATAAACACATCACACATACATACACACATGAAAATGTGGGCTATTAGTCGAAAACATGATGTCGATCGTATGTAATCTTTTCGCGTTTAGTTAAAGATCGATTATCGATTATCAGGTAATAATTGTGCGCCGGAATTTCCACAGGCGAGTCGATTTTCCATTTATTCTATCACGGGGTTACGTGTATGCAAAACAGAAAGAAAGAAAAAAAAAAAGTTGCTCTGTAATAAGCTTGTTGTACAGTTCCTTTGACGTTACAATATTACTTTAAAGTCTCGCTAAAGAAGTAGAAGAAACGAGACGTGTTTTCTCGAAACTAGAGATGAGCGTGAAATAAACGAACAATGGAGTTCTGTCGTCGAAGTTAGTAAAAACGAAAAATAAGACAACTTTCCTCTGTTAGGCGATCGTTCGAAATTCGACCTCGCCTAATCGCGGGAGCTTCGTATTTTAAACGTTGCAAAATCGCTGCAAAAATCGAGCGTGACATATTCTTCGTACGAAAAAAGTGTTCCGACTAGAAAGAATATTTGACGGCGTGCACCAGGTTTCCGAAAACGTATTCCCAAGAGAGCTAAACCCTCTACACCACCGAATCACTCCGTCTCTTTCTCTCTGTGTCTAAATATCGATGTCCGTTGTTCTCGTTTACGTTTGTCGTATCTTACAATGATGATCTCACTCCGAATACAATGAGAATAAAGGAAAAAGGAATGAAACGCGCGTGTCGCACCCACCAGCCGTAGCGGAGTGCAAGATGAAAAAGGGAAAACGAATCACGAACGCCATGGAACTTCCGAGAGATCGTAAGGAGGGGGATTAATTTAAAAAAGGAAAAAAAAAAAAAAAGAAAAAACAAAGAAACTGTAATAGTGTATTATATATTCTATACGCCTGACTCTATTTGCTGTTTAAACGAGAAAGATGATAAATGAAAATAAAATGGTATTCTTAAATACAAAAAAAAAGTAATAATGATAATATTAATAATAATAATAATTAATAATTAATAATAATAATTAATAATAATAATGAATAATTAATAACAATAATAATAATGAATAATAATAATAATAAACAGTCTACGAGGAATATAACTTACACACACTTACATCATATCAAAATTCCTAGCAGTTAAGAATCAAATCATAGATTTATTTCTACATGCGTTTTTCTGACGAAGTATGCGCGCATAATACCACTGTACAACCAACGTACAAAACGTTTTGATTCTTCATTGACGACATCATGTACATCGCAAACCGTGTAACTATTAACCAATTGGCGTCGGTTACGATGCGAATTGTATCACCGGGGATCCCATTATGATCTTCGTCACTTTCTTTCACGTAAAATGAGCTGATTACAGGTTTTCATTGCATAACGCGAGAAACAAGATACGCTGGAGTCAAAAATGTTGTAATCCTCGAGTCCAAGCACCACGATACACGAATACATCAAGATGAATATCATTCTACTCGAGACTCGAGAATCCGAAACGTTCTTTCCTTTGTGTTCAACTACATGCACGGACGTATACACATTTTTACCGCGAAGAAGAGGACGGGACGAAGAAGAAAGAGAAGAAGGAGAAAGCTAGTTTGATCAGGAAGGACGGAATTTAATAAACTGTTACGAGACCGTGCACCGACAAGGAGTTTTCTTCTGCGAATCGAAAGCTGTAGTCAATTCAGTTTACCCCGAAAAGTTCAATCAAACATACATTGGCATTTCTCATCTCTCGGATAGAGCATTGTTATCGCTAGTCAGACAGATTTTATTGATCGTGAGAGCATATTGGCGGATCAACGAAACAATAATATATTAACGCCATGATATTATAAAGAACGTTATAATTTTATCGCTACACCGGTAAATAAATCGTTGTAAATGCATCGAGTAAATCCAAAATCAAAATATCATAACGGATCATCATACGCAACAACAAAAGAGAACTTTATCTAAAAAGAAAAAAAGAAAAAAAAAAGAAAGAAATGATCGATACGGTATTAAGCTTCGTGCGCAAACATTCCAAAATTAAAGAACAAATCCCACCTTCGTATTTAAAAACGAGTCCCCACTTATCCCCCTGTTTTAATGAATTGTCCTACTTAAACCGTGTTAAAGAAGAGAAATCGTATTAGAGATTCCGTGTTATTCGATGTTACAAGGTAATCGTAGAACGTTACGATATAATCGTATTCGGTGAAACGATTGTAATTAATGGCTGAAAAGAAATTTAAACACATGTGAAATACTCGTGTGTGAACTCTTTATCACACACATATACACACAATCTTTACTGGCGTCGAGATCCACGATTTAACGACAAAGAAGAAAAAAGAACAAAAAAAGAGGATAATGAAATGTACAAAGCAAACTATAATTTTATACGGAAATCGGGATGTAATGATTTTACTTGAGATCCGTGGAAACATTAAAAAATTTCGTGCGTGACACGGAAATTCTACTTTAGAACCAAACGACATATTGTTATATAAAATTATTCTCTGACGATCTCTGAACTTTCTTCAAGTGACAAATAAATCTAATCCTTTGTTGCTTTTACATTCGCAATTTGAGAATAATATTTTTCTAGACGAAAACTATTTGTATTCACGCAATACACATACACACTACACATATACGAATGCACGAATTCGTGAAAATCGATTTCGAAGGAAGAAAAGGAATGCATCCACGTGTTATGATTTAATATATTTTGGTTTTAAATATATTCACTGAAATTGATGATCAATTCTTTTTTTTTCTTTTCTTTTTTTTCCAAAAAATTTGTTTTCCATTTTAAAAACTACGTAACATTTAAACCGATTAAAGGTTAAATTTACTTCGTACGTGAATATTTAATTTGCTCTCGGAGGAAACAGTTTTGAACTAAAAATATCTTTTAATCCTTTGATAAGAAGGAAATGTATAAAACGTTTTCAACTGGCCGTCCTACATAGAATATGGCGAATGTTAAATATATTATTTGAAAGCTATCCTACGTATTGCCATAACTTATTGATGCGTGTAAATTGTAAACAAACGATCCAACATACTAACGTTAAAAATGTAACGAAATGTAACACGCAATAATTTTTGTAGACCTTATGTTAATAAAACCGATGTTAATAAATTCTTTCATAAATTCCTGTTAATTCGAATATATAAAATAATTTGAAGAAGGAATGGTAAATTGAAGTGGTAAATCTAATTAAAAAAAACACTAAACTTGTATTAACGATTATTTTACAATACCTGCGTGTTAATTTTATCTAAATGTAATAGAAACATTGATAATAAGCAATGGTAAATAATAATTATTTAATGTCTCATACATCCTTCTTACTTTTGTATTCGTTGTATGAAGTTTTCTTTTGGCAACAGTCTCTAAATAATGTATCATTTTAAATGCAGTAAAGTATCTTATCATACATGTAACATAGAATAAGGAGTATATCATGCCATAAAAGTGACAATGGTAAACGTTTCTAAACAGGAAATCATATAGTGATAACTACCATATTCATTCACACGAGGATACTCTCATATAACTGTGTACATGACGTTCATTTCTTATTCTAATACATTACTCTTAAATTAACTAGCATTTCAGGTTTCCTTCTGCTTTCTCATTTATAATGTTAATTTTAAAATAATCTATCATAATTAATTCTACATAGAATAGATGTTATCTACTTTATCGCTACTTTTAGGTAACAATTACATGTAAATAGTGTGACGAACAATTAAATTGAATGACAATGGTCTTAGACTTTTTTCAACAGATTTCTTGAACAGATACATATAATTTTGTTATCTGTTACGCAGAGGAGAACAACCAATTTCTTACAATAGGGCACAGCATAATATATTACAGCGTGGCTGGATATTTCTATACAGTAAAGTAATTTCTATGATATAGATTTGGTGTGTACTGTGAAGAACCGTCTTGTAATTGTTGATAATTTTTAATGAGAGTGGATGATAAGGTATATCCACATACTGTGCCGTCTTGTAATGAACTTGTCGATATATATCAAATTTTTGAAAACTTATTGTTAAGCTTGCGTTACACACCTCATTTGTAAATATTAGATCATATTTTTGTCTGTAGCATAATGAGGATTTTAACTGCAATTTATTTAGTTCATAGTATAAGATAATAAAGCTGGAAAATATAATGGGACAAAAAAAAGCGTTATCATTTCTTTAATTTCTAAGTAATATAGTTAAAAGAAATAATATCTATTATGTATTCAAACTTTTTATTATTTAAAATTTTATTACTTTCTTAAAATTGAATAGTAAAGTTGATATTCAAGTACAATAGAAAATTAAGGTTATAAGTTATACATAATAAAATTCAATTACATATAAATAAATCGTGTTTTCAATTTTTTTTTTGTTATACTAATAATACATACACATATCCTTTTTTAGTAAATGATATTTAAAGTTTTTAATAATTAATATTAGTATACTGTTACTAAATATCAAACAAATCAATTTAATTTATAATATGTTTTTATTCTCATTTATTATTTCTGCGTTAATATTTGTTATTGCATTCCTAAACATGTTATAATTCGTATGTATTGTAAATAATTTGAACCAATCAGATATTCTGCGCACAAATATACTCATCTTTCCTGTATATACGGTATTGTGTATCGGACTTAATGATCAATACCTCGTATGGCTTGCGCAATTTATTGTGTTCTACGTAAAATTAATTTCATATTTTGAGTACGCAAATAATTACAGAATAGTTTAAGTAATAAAAGTATTTTAAAAATTGTATTTCATTTTTTTTCATCGAAACATATAAATTTTCTATTCTTATCGGTAAGTATTTAAATTTAGAAATATTTTTAAATTATTGTAGTTACCGGTATTTTAAATCTTGTACATAATTAGCTTTCCTGTATATTTCGGAAAGTTAGAATACGTTACAAGATAAAACTTTATTGTGAAACAAATTTTTTACGTAGCATTTGATGTATTTCGCATATGTGATTGATATATTGTAATATAAAGTGGTATATCATATGCATTTACGTTTGCTAGAATTTTCCTTCATATTTATACGACATAAGCGTGTATGATCTGTTTTGTATAAGTCAGTTATTACTTTTTTAGGTATCAAAATGTCTATTCCTATAAAACCAGAGCAAATTTTATTGGTGAAAGAATTTTTTAATAAGTGCAAAACTAATCCTGAAATTCTACACCAGCCAAATCTTTATTTTATAAAAGATCTCATTGAATTTTTTGGGGGAAAAATACCTAAAGTAAATCGTGCAGAAAAAGGTGAATCACCAAGTAAAAGATCTGAAGATACAAATGCATCTAAAGAACCAGAACCTAAATCAGAAAGTGAAGAAAGTGATTTAGAACTTGATATGAGCGCAGTAATTGGTAAATATAATTTATTTCAACTTTTATTCTTTTTGGAATACTTAATTTTATATATACATATTTTTAATAATATTAGAATTTAAATAAAATTTGTAATAACATTTAATATTTTTAATTAACATTAAATTTTAGAACCAGATACAGATGCTCCCCAGAAAATGGGAAATCCTACTTTACAACCAACAGAAGAAGAAATTGCAGAATCCCAAGTTAAACGTTCTGAAGCTGTATCAGCATTTGCCGAAAATGCTTATGAGAAAGCTATAGAACTTTATACCGAAGCTATTGTAATGAATCCACAAGCAGCATTACTTTATGCCAAACGAGGACAAATTTTCTTATTAATGAATAAGCCTAATGCTTGTGTTCGAGATTGTAATCGTGCTTTGGAACTAAATCCAGATAGTGCTGCAGCTCATAAATTTAGAGGAAGGGCCTATTACCTACTTGGAAAATTTGAAGAAGCAGCAAATGATTTAAGACTCGCTTGTAAATTTGACTATGATGAAGAAGCTGATGAGTGGCTACGAGAAGTTACGCCAAATGTAAGTACTTTTTTTTATAAATTGTTTCTATTTTTATAATCTATATATTTTTTTAATTTTCTGTTATTTGAAAGATGATATGGTTATTTAACATTGAAGATAGAACATTAGAAATACATATTTTTTCATTATAATCTTTTTCATAGTAATATTATATAATGCAATTTGTATAATATAATTAACATATTGTACTTCCTATAATCTATTAATTTTTATTTATTATGTAAATAATTTTTATTAGAGATTGAGAATATCACATTTACACCAATGATGAATATACTTATTTGATAATATTTCTATTTGAAAAATACAGAAATTAAATCTATTAAATTTCAATATTTTAGTAAAATAGTTTTAGTAAAATAACAGTAATAATAATAATAATAATAATACTACTACTAATAATAATAACAATAGTAGTAGTAGTAATAATAATAATAATAACAATATAAATAATTTGCTTATTTTCAAAAAATCAATCACACGTGTGAACAATAATAACACAATGCAAAACAATAAGTGATTTATATGAGGCATTTAATTTACACAAGGTACATTAAAAATCAAATTTTTTACTAAAACAAACAATATATTCATTTACATTGGAAATATAGTTTATGTATCAACATGGGAAGTTATTATCGAGTAACTAATAATTTTTTTAAATAAATATTTATAACTTTTAATAAGAACACAATTTGTTTATACAAGGTATTTCACAAAAGCTTCAAAAAGAGATCATTTTTATCTCTTTCTCAATGGAAATATTTTTATATATTTTATTTTACATACTTTTAATATGTAACTGCTTTCGTTGTATGTTCCGACGGTTGAAAGTGTCACAATGTTGTGCTACAATTAGCACAACCATTACACTAAGTTTCAAAAATGTCTATCGCGTGAGTTCACTGTATTTTCATCTTAAATATTCGTGTGTTAGATAATAGGACCCACCATTGTTGTGATATGTTTTCCAAAACTGTGTAATCGAAGCTGTATTTGAACACATTCAAGGGAAACTCACTATCCTTTTCTTAGATTGGAATGGTAACACTTGTCCTATTTTCCAAACACAGGTATCTTGAAATCTTCGATTCATTCCAATCCACTAATACACTTAAGCATATGTTAAGCATACCGTTAATCAATCATATGCTTTGCCTCATAATATCACCATTCTATGTTGTTTACCTACAAAACCAACAGTATATCTTCATATCCCGAAACGGTGTCTCTTCTCATCTTTTAACGAACTATTTAATATATTGCGCAAAGTTGTGTTCCAGGAAAATTCTGTTTAGGTTTCGCATTCTCTTCTTTTCATTTAAGATCCAGTTGGACTTTTACTTGGAGACAATCCAAACCTACTTGCTGTTTCAGGAACGAAACTTCTCTGTACTGCATCAAGTAATGTACTTACACTAATGTTCGTTTCCTTTCACTCATTCGCTTTTTGTTTTGTACAATTTGCTCTTACCTTATACCTTATGTGGTATCAAGAGCTCTGTTTTAGAATGTAGGATTATACTCAACTAGGAGGACTTGTTTCGTACTCATGTATGATTTGCTCTACTGACTTTTTATATTTGCCCACGAGCTCTGGAAAATCGTAAGCAATAGCAACATCGAGTCTATTGATAGGACATCCACGGAAATATGTGCACGTAGAGCTTAGTAGAGGGAAGTCGTAAAGAGGATTCAATCGGAAGAAATCTCGATAGACGTCCGGATCAGGCAAGTCATAGCGTGATATGTTCTTCAGAGTGCTTAAACCCTCGTAGATATGATAATCCTGTGGACTCTCGATAATCTTCTCACTGATTTCTTTTTTGTTTCCAAAGAACGTCTTGTGATTGTAGTATGTGGTTAGGTAGCAATCTACCATTTTAGCATGATTGCGCACTCGTACCTGTAAGTACACGTAAAAAGAAGAAGATAGAACATTTCAGCAATTGAAGATAAGAAATGAATAATTGAAAAATACGTCGACAAGGAAGTAAACGCAATAACTTACAGCGAATCTCCTGGCGCTTGCAATCTTATGCTCGACACGTTTGTCAATGGCAGTACGCAGGTCGCGTAGGAATGCACGTTCCTGAGCATACAGTAATCTGGTGGGTGCACCAGCTTCATATGGTATCGACCACAACGATGTAGAGTACATTATCGGTGGCTCAGCGCTAGACATCAGTGGCGATATATTCCAGATCAGAGCGCCTTGCACTCTCATTAACTCCTCTGGTTTTACTTGATCAGCTTTGTTAAGAATGATGCGTGTCTGTTGCGGAAGTTCGCATTACCTTAGTGTCAACATATCTGAAACTTAATATCGAGGTTTACCTGATGCTCCCTTCCTTTCAATTGGTCAAGGATTGCTTCTGTTTCTGGCCCAACGTCCAACTTGGATGGATCGTATACTAAAAATATTATGTCCGCACGGTCAATGAACCATTGACATGCATCGTTAAACGGGAACAAACGTTGGACCTGTTTTCGGATTTCTAAAATTCCTGGTATCTCCACGATATTGACCTGGTAATGTATAAATTGTTTGTTGAACTTCAGCACAATAATAACTTTGAGGAATTTTTTGTAGATTAAAATACTCACTTTTTCTAGTAACTTATTATCAAGCCGTAAACCTTTAAGACGATCGAGCAATCCTTGGCCGAATTTTTGTAATCCAGAGAAAGTCCAGTCAGCGGCGAGCTGCGTACCATCGAGAATCTCCTCTTCCTCTCCGTGCATTATAATATTGAAGTAGGCCGGAGATGGCTCGGCTCCTGTGTCATTTCCATTTGGCGTTTTGCATTGCTCCTCTAAGCACTCTCTCAAACCACCTAAACACTATCTGTATATTCATGCTCCTAGCATGCTTCTACCACTAAATCTTTACATCAGCATTGTTTACTATTCGAAGGCGTGATCACGGCCGACTTAATTAAGCGTCAATGTGAAGTAAGTCGAAGCATCCTCGCACAACAAATTCTCACTACTTTCTTCGTTTCTCGCTACTTACGCACCTGTCCTTAACGATGTCTGCTTGTACTCGATATTGAGTAAATAGTTTATGATGGAAGATTTCCCACCGCTCCACGGACCCATGAAAAGAACTAGTGGTTTGGAAAATATTTCTGGATCTACAAGAACATGTTACATATTTAACTGTTGAATATCAACAATTTGTACTGATTTTTTTCGGATATTGTTTTGAGGATCAATATCATGAGAAGAGATAAGCCATTCTTCTTCCAAAATATAGAAAATTCAATAGCATTTATGCAAGTAATTCGTCATTGAATCGTGCTTTCTTTTTTAAGCAATTAATAGATCTTAGAATATCTTACCGTATTTATTTGGTTAATTATGCTTACCACCAAAATGTCTATTGCTTAAGTCTCTGTATTTATACAAGGATTCCAATGGCTGAATAGCATTATCGTAAACCCTCTTCAGTTCTTTTAGCACAACATCTCCGTTCTTCTGGATGGCTCGCTCTTTCTCTTCATTCTCCTCATCTAGTTTTAACAGTTGATTTATATGATCACGTGGTCGTAAATTCTCCGGTACCACTATCTCTTGGATCAAATCTTCTTCGGGGGTAGGTTCTTCTTCCTCGCTTTCTTCTGCTTCTTTCGAGCCTTCAGCATCCTCCTCGCCTTCTTCTTCGCCAACTTCTCGCCTAGCACGAGATTTTGGTTGCGCAGCTTCTTTCTCTTCTGATTTGGTATCTTCTACGGATTTTGCCCCCTCATCCTCAGATTTAGCTTCTTCACCTTCCTTCGATTCTTCAGTTTCCTTCTTCGCTTCTTCTTCTTCTTCCGCCGATTTTGTAGCTTCTTCCTCAGATTTAGGTTCCTTAGCCTCCTCGCTTTCCTTTAATTCCTCCGTTGCTTCACCCTCAGCACTTTCACCCCCACCTTCTTTACTCTCTTCTTTTGCTTCTTCTTCGCTTACTTGTTGTTCCGGAGATTGACCATCTTCTTCAGCTTTACTATCTTCGTCTTTTTCACCATCTTCTCGAGAAACAGCTTCCTCCGTCTCTTCCGCCTTTGAATCAGTCGTTTCGTCTTCGATTTCATCTTTCTCTCCCCCAGACTTTACTTCTTCAGTCTTGGTTTCTTCGTCGGATTTCTCCTCGTCGAGTTTCGCTTCTTCAGCCGATTCTCCTTCGGCCTGTGCTTCGTCGGATTTTTCATCACCATCCTGCGCCTCTTCGTCGGATTTTCCAGCTACTTGAGCTTCTTCGTCAGATTTTTCAGTATCTGCTTGTCCTTCTTCGGATTTTTCCGAATCTGCCTGTTGTTCTTCTTCGGATTTTTCAGCGTCCGTTTGCGCTTCTTCGTCAGATTTTCCTTCATCTACCTGTTCGCCCTCACCAGACTTATCTTCGGTATCTTCCTGGCCGGAATCTGCAGCATCCGCTTCCGCTTGTTCAACAGATTCTTCTTTATCTTCCTCTGTTCCTTTATCTGTTTCTCCAGATTTTTCATCAGGTTGTTCATCTTCAGCTGTAGTAAATAAAATGTTTATAATATTTCTATAATAAATAAGTTTCATCTTTCTAGCAGAGGCACCTCCATTACCTCCTTCTGCATCACCACCTTCAGCACTCTCTTGTTCTTCCCCAGCTCCAGCACTTTGCTCTGCGGATGCTTTGTCGATCTCCTGCTCAGCTTGTTCGGCACTTTCTGCAGTTTCAGTTTCTGCTGATTCCTGTTTGTCCTCTTCAGTTGCTACATCTTCCTTTGAAGCATCGGTTGCTGACTCGCCATCCTACAGTGACAGAAGTAATGTCCTTGATCTTAGCTTTATGAATTTATATTTCAATCTATGATCGACATTTGCGTGTATATTTAATATCAGTATTTTAGTTGAAATAATACTCTTACTTCTTCGCTCGCAGGTTTTGCTTCTTCTTCTTGACTCTCTTTATCGGCATCGGTCCCAGCCTCGGCACTGGTCTGCTCCAAAGATCCTTCAAACGAAACATTCTAGAAATCGCTGTGCTCCAGTTGAATATCCCTCGATATTTTAACATTACCTGTACCGAGGTCCTTTAACGCCTTCTCAATATATGGTCGACACAGATCCTCTGGCGGTATCTCTTCGCTTTGCACTCCTGAAATGCGAGTTGGATTGTTATAAAACATTCATCAACCACTTCTTGTGTTTCGCAAGAACACTTTGTATTCTTTTACACACTGATTCTGACATCTTTAATTTTATTAAGCAACGAGGATTTATGGATTTGCTAATAATCATTCACGCATGTATAAGTATCGAGAAGAAGCGTTAATAGGAAATATTTTTCTTTTCTACGAGTTTTGCAAAGATTTTACGGTTGGCTTGATTCTATGCTGATTCTTTGGCTGCCAGGAATTCTCATCGAGAGTTCTCACTATGCTAAACATGCGGTGCCAAAAGAAGGTGCGGAGTATTAGATAACCCAGCACGGAGCTTAGCAAGAGAGTTTAACGCCACGCGACTACCAAAAATATCTGACCCAAGTGACGCAAGATCTTGTCAAAGTCGTTACACACCGTTTGGGTTGAGCGCGTGCTCGAACAATGACAGGTGTGCAGAAACAACAACCATGCTTGATCGAGGTTCTAGCAGGTAGTAAAAAATAGGTGCTATTGTTGAAGATAACCAGAGAACTAATGACAAGCGATTATCAGGAACTCCATAGACACTGAAATACTTTATAGAATTTCAATGGAAACCAAAATACTTTTAATTCGTTTCAGATTATGTACTTTTATCTTGTACATTGAAAGAAACTGAATAGCTTCGAATGAAGATAAGCTAAAGATAATATTAATGACATCATTACCAAAATAATAATGCACAGTGTGATTCACAACTAAAAATTGTGTTTGTAAATCTAAGAAAACTTATAAAGATAGTTAATTAGCATTATACTTGGTAATTGATGAAGCATTAACACTTTGAATATATTCCAAAATGCGAGATTTTGATGTCTAAGCAACTATTGAACAATATGGAATGAATTACCACTTACTAATTGTGGAAGATTACAATAATAACTATACGCAAAAAAGATTTGAAAATAATACACAAGTGGAAGAAAACCATAGCATGTGCATAAATATTTCAATTGATACTTCTACGTTAAATCAATTAAAGAAAAATGAACTAATATTCGCAAACAAGATATTACAAGAAACTATTTGAATACTTTTAAATAGTTCAGTACTCAACATCACATGTTTTGAAATTAAGCAATATTTTCTTTAAATCTATCAAATAGAAACCACCAGGAAAAACGTTTATCAATTGAACTCAAGTGAGCACTTATGATTCAAGGTTGAGGCCCTGTTAAGAACAATGAACAGTCGATTCACTGATTTCAAATGAAGTTTGTCAATACCTCTGCACATTTGTTTCTAAGGACATGAATACTCAGCATTTAGTGTTTTAATATGTGGCACCGTATGTAAAATCTCAGTCGATGAAAATGTCGATATCATCTTTCTAGGCAGTACCTGGGACCAGGAGGCCGGTTTCTAAGTTTAGCAACGAGTAGGCGGCTTTGAGCCGAGCAACACTTGAAAATATTTATATATTGGATGAGCGAAACGTATTTTTATCGATTATTCCCTGTGAAAAAGTTCAAACATTTTAACCAAAATTCTTCAACGATATGGAAAAGATCGACATGGTCGATACAGTGATTAATGTGTTTATTGAAACAGCAATAAACCAAAGAGCAGAATCAACAGAGAGAAAAGAGGAACAGTTAACAATTATGGTTTAACTAAGGAATTTCTCAAAGTGAAAAATTGGTGTAGACTTAGAAGCCTTATTTTTTAACTGGTGCAATTTCCATGGCGAAATTTAATTAGCTTATAAGTATAGATGAGAGGAAAATTCGAAGCATGTATTGTTCGTAAATTTTCATCGTTACATCACACGTGCCAGTACATTTGGCACGAGATCTTACCATTTTACATGCTTCGTTATCGCATTTATTATGTCCCATAAAACCAAAAGCAGAATATCTTAGCAAAAGTCATTTGCTTATTATTTCGCAATGTTTCGTATCTTTACTATAATTTACAGAATTTGTCAAATGTTACAAATGTTGCTCCGTTTCACCTTTACCTTTGATTTCTGTCTCAAATTCGATTTCAAGGTATTATTTTGGTTTAGATTTAGTGTTTCGTTATTGAATATTGCAAGAACAAACAGAGTAGTAAATCACACCTGAAGAATAATTATTGCTAATTTTCATGCAATACATTAATTTTAGATTCTAGAGATCTGTAAGATAATATGTTGAAATTATGTATGTTGCAAAATAATCCTCGAAAATGTCAAGATACGGGTAATGGAAGTAGAGGTAAGCAGCTGTCGTTTGGCAAGCATAGCCACCAAGGATAAAGATAGAATCTGAAGTCTTGTTCCGTGCTATGTGGCATGTATAGTCTTTAATCTTTTTGCTATAAAAATTAGTCCTGCTCAAATATGTATTGTTAACTCTCCACAAAAATTTCTACACAAAAGTGATTTTATATCAAAGTTAATGAAGACACTAAACTGTTATTTAAGAACAACGAAAATAATTATTTTATATTAATAATAATAGTTTATTTTGAAAGTTACATTTTCGCATTGTACACTTTAAGGAATATAATAATGAAAGTGTCATGGTATCAATACTACATATTTACAGTAATTCATAGAATTTTAAATATCGTGTGTTTACATCAACTTATGTTACAAAACTATATCGTGTTTAATTTTAATTTACAAGTGTTTACAAATGTTAATCACACCTTTTTATCGTTCTCGCGTTATGTATTAGCATGGACATTATGTTTGGTTCAAGTATCGCTTTAAACGGAATTCACAGAAATTAGAGCGAATCTGGCACGGATTTATGTCTGTCCTTATGTAATTATTTGCAAGTTGTTGACAGTCGGTTTCCATCGATTCCCAAAATAACAAATCCTTGAATCCACGATCAAAATCTTTTACTCGATCACCGTCTCGTTTCGTTTCGTTAATTTAACCAAAATACTATTATCGACGTTCTCTAACTACATTTCAAGTCAATAATAAATGTCTTATATACCAAGAACGAAAAAGAGAAGAAAGTAGAAAGAACACTAATCGACGAAATTTAAATCCACCTTCTATCCTTACCGGAAACCAAAATCTTAAAATAACTCAAGGAAAGAAAAAGAAAAAAGAAAAATGCAAGAACGTTTATTTTCTCAATTTGATTATTTCTATTTGCCATATATAAGACAAAGCGATTTTATTCTATGAAGAAATATTAACCATCAATTCGAATAGGATGAGACACGTGAGATTAAATCGACTATACAAATGCAAATTTTCGAAGAAACGATTGGCAATGTCGAATGGGAAAGAAATGTTTGCTCGTTGAACGGTATCGACCTGACAAAACAGTAATGATGCAACAGGATCGTAGGTTCATCAGTTCGATCGTACGTCTGCTCGATGCTGAAGAGGCTCGACGAGCCAGGCACTGATGACGCACACCAGTGACTTTACGTAACATTGACCTTCATCAATCGTCACACGCTCGTCATCACGTCATCCACATCATCGACCGCTAAAACTTCTAGAAACCTGGTCACACTGACGCCTACATGACGAAAAATCTACCAAGATCTATAGCGTTCGAAGAAGGACCAGAAGGACGAAACTGCTGATCCTTAGACCTACGATCAATGCCAGTTGTCTTCGAGATGATACACGTCATGAATCACAGTTGCGAACAGGCAAGCCGTCGCTTTTTATTATATATCATATATATTATAATTAACGCGAATAAACGTTGGGTAGATATATTCTAAAAAAGTGTCGCGTGACGATTCGTTAAAAATAACGCGGAAACAAACGACGATGTCGGTGCACAGATTTGTTTGATGCACGCCGCGTACTCTTCGATCAGGATCAAGGAGTACCACGAAGGACAAAAAGAGGAAAAAGCGTGAAGTGTAAAACGGAAGTGTGTTTACGATAACGTAGGATACGTCCCTGTATTAAAATCTTGGCACGAATGCTCGAATTTAAAATTCCACGAATTAGTACAAGAATAAGGAGAAGGACCAGCTTTCTTCGGGCACCTGGATGTTGGGCAACGTTAAACGGAGAGATCTTTGGATAAATTATACACGAGATGGAAAGACCTCACCATTGATTTCTAAGAAGTCTTCTCATCGACTTCACGAGAAATCATCTTTTAAAAAATTGTCACAGATCATTAAGGGTCGTCTCTCGAATCGTCACAAACTGTTCAACGAAGCTCCAAGGGATGCGTTGGCCACTTAGTAAAAAGAACAGTACGATAGTACCAGAAAACACTCGTGTTACGATTAATGTCCCCAAAGACGAACGCTCGCGGAAGAATCGAAAGAGATGCAGGATGGCGGTGCAAGGTCAACGGGGTAGAGGCATCTCCGTGGTTGGAAGGGCCCATCGAGGGCTACTCACCCTGTAAGGCAACGGCTAGAAGGGTCAGGAAGAGGCCCACGAAGTACGCGGGTCTCAGCCGCGAGCCCGTCATCTCGTTTCACTAGGCACTACACGATGAGCCAGGGCTGGCAGCTCGTCTCACTCGATAGTCGCCTTCGACTCCAACTCGCCCGCGAGGAACTGGCATTGTCACTACCGCCAAACCCTGAAGACGCCCCTCTACTTCTCACCCCACAGCCGGACCACGCGAGCTACCATTTTCTCGTTTTTTCCCGCCTGATCTACGGGATTCTGCCCGCGGTTTTCCTGGTCCTCTTGTCGCTACCAAGTAGAACCGAGTGAGAACGAATCCCCTCTCGTTGGTTCAACGGCTGGTATTAAAATTAAACTGTATGGGGAAGTTAGGATGTCTGGTGATCCAATTCGGAGAGAGAAGCGTGGGTTCTAGTGACTTTAGAAAGGTCGAAGGTGCCTTGGTGGTGACTTCCATTGGGAGAGGCGGCTAGTTAAGTACAATGTGAGCTTTAGGTTCGTATGAAGTGGATTACAGTGGTTACCACCTGGATGGTGGATTAAATCTGAACCTAGCTTCGTTGATAATTTATCAGACTTTATCGAATCTTTGTAGCGAGTAAAGATATGATTTTGAAATGGAGAAATTGGAAAGTTCTTTGCCAAAATTGTCGCATTGGTCAGAGAAGCCTAAAGAACATTCTGAGATTAAGGCTTGATCGAATACCACGGCTTGAACGAGCCCGATGAAGCGTTGCTTTCAGCTTGGACTAGCAATGACCTGTAAAATGACGGTTTGGTTTTTATGTGGTAGACAAGAGATGTCTGAGCGAATCCGTTATTGAATCAACCAATCTTTATTTTGTTCAATCCGCAGATACTGCTCGTAGAGTGGCAGTTTTAAAAATACCTCTCGGCGGCCCGGTTTTCTCGGGTTTGCAGGGTCTACCTGGCTGACAGACTGCTAAGACATTGACTAGTGGATCGTGCACGGAGATCCTGCACACGTTTCGACCTAGCTTCCACGTCATCCGCAACCTCGTTTCCGTCGTTGTCGTCTTCGTCGCATACCCCACCTCGTGGCTCCTTCTTCTGTATATTTCCTTTTTTTATTTACGGCAAATGTCCGTCATCGACTATTTTTTTCGGTTGCTATGTTCCCTTGCTGATACCTATGGTATTACCCTTAGGATTCCGGTGGCCAGGCGAAGAAAGTCGATGCCGGAAATTCGTGACGAGTATAAAAATAGAGGTTTATAAATAAGCGCATAGATCTTTCGTAAATATCCTTTGTCTCCGCGGTGAAAATTACGAAGGTTTATCGAAGACATGTAGTTAGTTAATACGAGCCAATTATAAGCGTCGCAGTCGTAGAATTCCCAAAATACATGCGTGATATGAGGACAAGGTCGTTATGGAAATCGGCGGAAACGTAATCGAATTACCGATGAAAGTTCGTCGTTGGAGAGGAAATTGTTGATCTTGAGGAACGTATGTTGGTTTTAGTAGTGAAAATAAATCGGCAATCTTAGTCGAATAACATTGCATCTGTAATAGTTTGAGAAATTAGTCTTTGAAATGTAAGTATAATTATATGATCGATTTTATACAATATATAGGCATGTGGGATAACTCGATTTTCGAATTTTTTTAAATATTTTAGGGTTGCAATAAATTCACGTTTTCATTGAAGAATGTCACAAAATAGTATTGTATAAATACAAATACTTTTCTTAAAATATCCTAAATCAATTGAATGAATAATTATAATGATTTTTGGCATATATATTAGCAAAATATTTTAGAAGTATTACAAGATTGTTCTAATTACGTTAATAGAATATGCAATTGTGACGAAACATTATAATTCTGGAAATCTTATGTAACGTACATAATTAGTAGAGTTATCAAAAATTTAGCTACTCGATTTTTTAATCCTTTCAAATTAAAAATAGTATGAAATTAATTCTTGAAATTCGATCTATCTTCGTCGATACAATCAAATATCAATTTTTTAAATATTGCACTTGTATCATAGGTTATCATATCTGAAATATTATATTTCGTACCTTAAACAAACCAATATGCAAATTTCTTCAATTTCAAATATAGTTTGATACAATTTTAATTATTTCAATAATTTTTAATAATTTGCAACTTTTTTTTAATCCTTGACAAATTTCCCAAACATGTGTAATTCAATATAAAGTATGGTTAAATACTTGGTTCTCCGATTACAATAACAAAGGTATATCTGTAAATAAGAATGAAACTCCAATGATAACAGTAACTCGACAAAAATGTACGTATGATATCTTCATTATTTGAAATTCTTACTATTTCAGCATTATTTGAAAAAATTTCACAAAACGTGAAAAATTGGCTTGTAACTTTTAGGTTTGGGACTATAGGAACACTTAAGAGAAGCGCGACAAAAAGAGACATCTCTTGTGCAACGTTATATTAGCGAAATTCCAACCGCCTGTTATCGACTGTGCCTACGAGAGAGCGCGGCTGTGGCGCGTGTAGCAAAGAGAAGAGATTCGCCGCGAAATGTACGCGTGCTCGGACAGAGAGGAGCATCGAAACGACGGGCGCCTTTATATTTAGAAGCCCGGGTCGCCGCCGTATAAGGTGGTGCTTCCCTCGTGCAAAAGTTCTCGCGTCTGCTCACTCTCTCCACTGCTATCTTCCGTGTACTCTCCCTTGTCCTTTCTTGTTATCTTTACATTGTTGATTCGTTGTGAAAACTTTTTCTGCATTTCTCGGATGGTTCAGTCGCATTTTGAATGTCCATTAATCTCGAATTAGATATTTTTTATTGATTCAGACGCTGGTTTACACGCCAACGAATGTGTAAATGCCGGTCAGTCGTTACGAGAAGATTGTATATTTGAGTTTTAGAGGTTAGGTTTATAAAGAGTCGATAGAAAAGTCACATAAATACATTTTTAGATTTATTTAAGAATTCCCAAGCTTTTATTTGTATTTACAGTAATGTGTTTTTATGTTTGGAAACGCATAGATTTTTCTATTTCTATTCATCTATACATACAATTTTCTCTAATTACAGTTTTACTTATTCCACTTTTCTTTCCAGGTCCACAATTGGTGTTACTTGATTTTAAAGTTACAGAAATCGTTATTGGTAGTATAAAAAGTTTTATTTTTTGGTATATTAATATTTTCACTATTATCTATTTTTTACAAAATTTAATTATCCTTTCCTCTTTCTTTCTTTTGTTAATATAATAAACAGAACTATTTTATCGTAAAAGAAATTAAATGTTACATTTGTATATTATTTTCAGTAATCTTCGCTACAGCATTGTATCTTCTTAATTGCTTGTTCTTGGTGGCGCTAAAAGTACCAGTTATATGACATTTTAATTCATATTGTTTCCTTGAATCTGTAAAACAGAGGCTTAAATAGCTTGAATGTTAGAGAATTTTTCCATTGTTACCGAGAGGGTGAAATGTTTAAGCATCAGTCTCGATTATGTGACTCGGATAATGGAGCACAAATCAGTGCATAAGTAATTCCCATAACCTCTTTGAAATCTCGATAAGCATATTTGCCAGAACAGTATATCATGTCGACAAATAATCCTTTACGGAATTTTATCTTGGTATTAATTGTTTTTCGGAAGACAAGGGTAATGCTATCGTTTTCTTTCGTAAGGACAGCGTGAAAGCACAGGAGACATGAGATGAGATTCTTCAAGGAGCATCATATCAATTTTAGAATTTTGATTAAAATAGAAAATATTTGTAGCAGTCAAGATCATATTTATTTTCGAAATTTTATTTTAGGATTTAAAAAATTTTACAAAAATTATTTTAGTGGTTCTTTGAGGTTATGAACAGTGAAAATTGTACGATATCCAGTGATACGGCAAAATACGAATTGCAAAGCCATAATACATTCACTGTTTAGGTATGGAATATAAGAAACATCTGAGCAAATGCTAATCGAATTTATTCTTTACATATTCTGCGAAATATATTCCAATTTTAATTAACTTAATATCACATTGATATTAAAGATCATGTGGTAATAACAATTTTTATAACTTAAATAGATAGTATATAGCGTTAAATGAGCAAGTATTATTCCTATTAGTTACTTTCTAATTGCTAAATTGTTGGTTAAAGTTTAAATCGATATTATAATTCTTGCATTATGAGTTTGATTTGACATTATGAAGCAAAGGGTTAAAATGAAAGGCATAATTACAAAAGGAGGGCCATTGAGATAACTGAATCGTGAAAAAGTGTAATGAGAACAGTTACACGGAAAAATATGGATTCTGAAAACGAAGTTTACTGGCCAAATTGGCTGGTACGCAATCTATAATAAGCTCGTAATCGTATGAGGTCACAATGCGGCTTAAACAGAAGTGTTTCACGTCATTATGATTTAGTATTTGGATAGGTTCCTGAACCTATTACTCCTTTCACGGAAGAGTGCGATTAGAATGCCGCCTTTCTATGCAACTTAGCCGGTATTTTTTTAAAAGAACGTTAAAATATTTAATCAGTAATGTACATATCGTTCTGAAATTTTGTAATCTTTGTATCGATAAATGTGTATCTGTATGCTTTTACATATGTTTTCTGAAAAAATTAAACGTAAATATCAGTAGTAAATGCTCCAGTAGTCTGAAATGTTGCGAATATAATCGCGAATTTAAATTGCAATTATTTTTGATATAATCATTTCTTTTTATTAAAAATGGTCACATGAATTTTATTAAAAATAGATACAACAAAAATGACATGTTTATAACATTTCTGGAAATGCACACGAAACTTCACCAAGAAGTGAATGAACTTACTATTCAATCTAGTATATCGTTCTTAACCTACGTGCAGTTCGAAAGATAAAATATTAGCTAGATTTAACATTCGATACATTTTTACGTTCTACAATTTCATAGACATACAAAGTTTTGTATGAATAGTTTTAAAATGTTACAATTTTCATTACAGGCACGAAAGATCGAGGAACATAAAAGAAAGAAAGTCCGTAAGATGCAAGAGAAGTTAGAGCATGAGGTAAAAGAAAGACTGAACAAAACCCGGGAGAATGTGAAAACTTATGAAGAGAATACTCGTACCTCTCAAACTGATTTTAGCGGAGAAAAAATGGCTGATTTTTACAAATTTTTAAATGATATAGGAACTCTCAATGCTATTAAGGTAAATATCGATTAACCAATCCATTCAATAACATTTATATATTTCAGATACTATAGATAATGCTATTCTGGTTTCAAAGTAACAAAGAATTTTTAAAGTATGTACATATTTTCCATGTACTTTAATACTAGGAAAAATATTAAAGTCAATAGCATGATCTTCATATAATTGTAAATTTTTATGCTACGTTAATTTTGATCTCTTGTATATTGTAATAATAATATTAATTTTTGTTTTACAGGATCCTGAAATAGCCGAGGCGTTTAAAGAAATCTCTGCAAATCCGGCAAATATCTTGAAGTATCAAAACAATCCGAAGATTATGGACTTTATTTGTTCTAGTTTGGTTTCGAAATTTCAATAAAGTGGTTTAAATGGTATTCTTGATATAATTAGGTATGTTTTCAGGTGCTGGAGCACGAATGACCACTCCAAAACCAGAACCACAGGACGATGTTGGCCTCGATTAGACCTGGCATGTTCTTGAAATTTCTTCACAATTTATTCTCAGACAATTTACAAAGTTCTAAACATTGGGTCTAAAATGATCGTTATTTGAAACTACACGAGGTTTTATTAAAGAAGTTATTGTGAAAATTATTCATGAGCTGGAATGTAGAAAGATATATCTTCTTTACGCAAATGATATTTCGAAGAAAATTTATTCGGGATACACTTAGGAAAGAAGTGTATTTTATATATGAAGTATATTCATACTTGTTATACTATTAACGAATTGAATTCCTAAATAATAACCAAGTAACTAGTAACAATTGGTAAAACGATTTCACTCTTTTATGGTTTAATTGATTTTATGATTGATTTTAAATATGTGGTGAAGAAAAAATTACTCTTGTCTTTTTTTTATGATTTTTTCTTAAATAATCTTTTATTTTTAGTTGTTTATTGTATGGTAATGCATTCAAAAATAATATAATATATTAGAATGTATTTCTGTAAGATGTATAAGTATGGTTTTTCATTTTTTTTGAATTTAATTTTGTTCATGTTTAAACATATTTTCACTAATCGTAATTAATTACTATATGATAAAGCATTTATTTGTAAACAAAATGTTTCGTTGTTTTTTTATTGATTAACCCTAGATTTATTTCACGCTATTACCTACATATGTTAATCGTTTTATGAATATGGTAAACATTTTGTCCATTTTACTCAATGAGAGGCTGGTGCTCAACTCGGTAGGGAACTGATATATAATTTCTCATGATGTGAATACGGTGTTGGAAAATTTTTTAATAATTTCTTCAAGATTAAATAAATATTATACATTATGCACATGGTAATGCTAGATCTTTGCTAGCCTTTGAAAAATACAACAAATCCAACCATACTGCGTATGTATACCTATGGAAAGGAAGAAGAAGGAAAAATTATTTTTAATCAATCTTGAAGCAATATAGCATAACATATTTCCTAGCCACTTGCAATTTTTATGTAATTTATAATCATTTTTCTAAAAGTTAGATTTTCAAACATTTCAAATTTACTTACTATCTTTATTAAGAAATCTATCAATTTTTGAAAGATATTGGTTTAGTCAGCAGCGAACGAGAATTACAAATAATTTATTACAAATTGATAAATATTGGACAAACAATGCGAGTTGAGCAATCAGCAAATGATATATCGCTTTGAATGTACTTTCATCGAAATATAAACTGCCATACGATGTATCGCGAGTTCAATAAATACATCATACAGTTATGTGTAAATATCAACAATTCTTACTTGCCACAGAAAACTTGATAAATAAATATGTACAAAAATATTGCTTGGTTAACAATAATCACATATACTTCACTTTTAAACAAGGAAAATAGAAACAACAAATAATTGCATAATGGTGTTTCCGTATTCGTAACGAATTAAAAAGGGTAACAAAATCTTGATGGCTAATAGTATCGCATTATTCACATGACTTGCACAATAAATAAATTCCTACGCTTAAATCCTTATAAACAATAATATTGCACGTAAAATGAAAAGGTACTGCACTCTTAGGGATATTGTTACTCACTCTGATACTCGTACAATTATTAATACTAGGAAGTGATTTTTAGCATCCTCAAGATCAAATAAGTTTCTCCATTATTAAAGTTATATAAAGTTAATTTATACATGCCTTTCTGTTTAATATTTCATGAAAAGATTTAAGTAGAAAAATAAATGCCTAAAGTATATATTAGGAGACACTTATTTACATTAAGATGATATAAAAGAAGCATTCTATTTATTGAATAGAAGACATTTTTATGTTCATAAGCAATAATCTTTTATTCTTAAATAAAAATAAACAATTAATTTGCTTTTCAAACATCAAATGAAACAGATTGAAATGATGTAATATGCGAGGAACTAGAATCGTGAACTTAAAAATGCCAAAAGTACAACTCCCTATAATAAGATAAATAATGCCTCATCGTTAAACTCCTTCGAAGAACGAAGGAGAAAAGAAGACAACGAGACGATCGATCAGCTTATTCAAATTTTTGGACAAATCAGGTTTACGTCATTTTGTCATGCTAAGTTCTTCTGATCTTGAGCATGTGCAAGTTCGAATGCCATGGCACTTTCCTAAAAGTCGACGTTTTCATCTCGTCAGGAGATGGAATATTCCTGTCGGTCTCAACTATCGATCCCTCCTTCATCAATCTCAATCCAGTAATATCGGTGTCGCAACTAAACATTCTACGGTGTCGTCTCACATCTTGATTAACGGTGTTCCAATTTCTTGTACCTGGATCACTGACTACACGTCGGTGCTTCCTGTGATGATGATGATGACGACGGTGAGGGTGATGATGATGATGACGATGACGTTGCATTACTCTGGATGATGGTATAAGGTGTTCCAAGTTCTGCGGATCCATAACAGGTGTCGCGATGCGGAATAAAGAATTTGGATCGAAGTAGAGCCTATTGTCGACGAAAGGAACGAAACTCACCGAATTCGTCATCCACGAATTCGGGCAGAATAATTTCTTTGGGGTTCTCTGGATCGTGGAGGACCATTCGTTATCCTGCCGCAGATTGATAGTCACCTTTCTGCGGCAATAAGAGCGGTGCGATCTCGACTGCAATCTACGAAAGAAATGATTGTTATTCTTCCTCTTTACTAAAATGTTCAGAAAAAGAAAGGCTTTTTATGAATATTTGTCAATAGAAAAAGAATACAAAACAAAATAAAACTTCGATGTATAAGTCTTATATTTAATGTTTCATATGATATTAAGAACAAACCTAGAGGAACATGGGTGTAACGTTCTGTATCGTCAGTTGAGCGGATGTTCTCCCCTTGGCATTCTATAACATTTATTCCATGCTTCCAACAGCAGTACACAACTATGAAATCGGTAAAATATTAACAAAGGCAGACCGATCCTGGATAAAACGCCCCAGGCAAGTACACCGAAAAATCTTAGTTGCAACTCTTGCGAGATCCAATTTTGTGTGATCACAGTGTCGAAAGCCCATAAAACGGAATTACTGAACAGCAGAAAAGTGATCACCTGTCTGGCTGGTTTCGCTATTATTTGAAAACGAGTTATACAAGATCTCTTCGATGCTTCGGCAATTAATGTACTTTGAGCGAAACATTGGATTAATTGTAAAATCGATGCTGTGAGTAACATGATATGTCTTCCACGCGTTTCGTCGCTTTCGTCTTCCAGAATTGTCAAGGAACAAGCACAAACTACAATTGTGAAAATAGAGTATAATTGAACTCCAAAAAGAGCCACGTTTGATAGCAAAGTATCTAAAGTAGCTGGCGCTCTGGTCACAACAGACATCTGACGAACTTGTACGAGTCCACTAGCCGTCATTAAAGTGCTCAAAGTCAAGATGCTAGTTAAGGTACCACAGGTTAACCAGGACAAAGTTGAAGAGGGAAAATGTTCGTCTTCTCTTACGACCAGGAATATTAATATGACTACTATGCCAGCGACCATGCACAATATGCCGAGGAATAAACCTTTACTAGATCCATCGCACCCAACTTTGGTGTGACTTGTTATATCTTTACTGCCGTGAAACTTTTGCTTGTGTAACAACCGATTGCGACCAACGTTCTGACCCATTACAAAAGTCACTGCAGCGGCAATTAAACTGAAAACAAATTAAAAAAGGTATAAAATTTTTAATCAAATAACATCGTCCAACAAATTTTAACCTTTTCCTTAATCTGTAATATCCAATAGGTGATTCGCGTAGAGCTTACTTTCCTGAATACGAATCTTTAATTGAGATTGCTCCATCACCCACAGTTTTCGAAAAATGTGAGTTTTAAATCTTCTAATGTTTTTGCTTCCCATGTAATATTTCATTTTAGCCAAAAATATAGAGTAAATAAAGATATTTTTACATATCTACACGTATCATAGAAATTTATCCTTTACAGGACAAATGTAGTTATAGTTTATAAAAAATGTATAAATTATGAAATTTATTATTAATAACAAATTGTTCATCAGGTAAATATATAATAAAAGTGAAAAAATTAATAAATTATTGGCAATTATTTGAGCTTACAACGTACTTGTGCCAAAATGTTCCTATAATTCGCAAAAAGTTTATACATTTTCAAACGTATTGTTAATAACAAATTGATACTGTTATTAACAAATAGTTCACGATGTAAAATAATAATACCAGTAAAAAAATTAATAAATTGTTGGCTATTACAGTGGAAAAATAGTAATTAATGGAATTGGTAAAGTTCGGAAATTTCCGCCATTCTTCGGCCGATCGGAGGCTATATAAGGAGCGACGCTCCACTGTTTAATTCATTTGTCGGTTCGATTTCTGAAGTGTAACGTCTACATTTTTTGTGCGCGAATGGAAGGGGGGGAGTCCGAAGTGAGGTTGAGGTTGACCACCCCACCCCATTAAACAATTTATTAATAATATTTGTTTTCTTTTCAGGTATTAATTTCTTTTTTTTTGTTTTCAGCCATTAATTATTTTTTCTTTTTTCAGGTTTTAATCTTTTTTTTTCAGATTTTATTTCTTCGTTCTTATTTATTTTTATTTGAGAATTCGAATATTTCGCATAATATCTCTAATATTGGATTGAAAATTATAATTATTCAGAAATATGAATAATTATAATTATGTACATTGATAAACTCTCATTGGATATTCTCACCTAACTTATAAGGCAACAATAAGACAACTCCTAACGTTCTTACTTTTTACGTATTACTTCATTTTAGCCAATAATTGTACGCTTTTAGAAAAACTCACAATTTTTTAAAACTGAGAATGTTGGAGCAATTTCGATTACGGATTCATGTTCAAGAAAGTAAACTCCACAAGAATTACCCGATGAATATTATAGACTAAAATTCATGTCGAACAGTGTATCAAATTAATTAAATTAGTTGAATTGATAAAAAGAAAGGATCGAAATATATTGGAAAAATATTTCTTCTTTGTAATGTGTTAATAGATAATACTTAACGATTTAAAATGTACCTAAATTGCACAATGAACGGATAGAGAAATGGCATGCTTGACGTCCATAACTGCCCAAGAGTGTTGGTATTTAAGCATTCTTGTAAAGCAATTACTTGTGAGATTTGCTCATTCGAAATAGGTTGATATGGTTGAAAAACGTGCTTCTCTACTGAAGAATGATCTGAAAAATCACACAAATTTTGAATACAAATCGAAAAATCAAAAAGACATTGTTACATTAAAATAATTGAAATAATTTATGTGTATACATATACATGTGCCATTTATTTATAATGTGATATAATTTTAATATGCATATTTATAATAGTTATTTATATATTGAAATAACTTGCATATACGTAAAATGAAACATACCTAATAAATCTCGAGAATGTCTTATCAAAGACTCTGGAAATCCTCTAAGATTTAGTGGAGAAACAGAATTGTGCAGACCTCGTTGCGCTAAGTGAACAAAATATGTCCATTCTTGAGCAGAATCCCAAATCACTAATCGAACCCAAACAGCAATATTTGTGGCAGTTAAATGAATGAATCCGAATCTTGCTGCCAAACCAAATCTCTCCACAAGAACCTATATTTATAAAAGACAATTTCATAAATGTATTAATCATCCTTTCACTAAACATTTTTGCAATGTAACAGTAAAAATTTAAAAATACAGATTATTATCTATAGATAATTAACACGCTTTGTACCTGCAAATCACTGGATAATCACTGATGATTAATGATGACTTTAAAAGTTACTTTAAAAATTATATTTTCAAATATGATTAAGAAGAGAGTCATCAATTTTTAAAAAGAAAGTGAAACTATGAAAAGTTTAATGTAATCATTATTTTTTCATAATTTCACTTTCTAGATCAATTCTTAGATTAGAAAGGAATAATTATTTACCCGATTATTTGTCGGAAATGTAATATGTGCATTTCATAAGTTCACTATTCTACATCTCCTTTCACTTTTAAAAAGAATCGCTTGTATGCAGTTATTCTGATAAATTTTTCCTACATTTATAAGTACTATATTATGTATTAGGACGTTAAAAAATGTTATATAAGCCAAAGAGACAATAAATTAATTATTATTCACCTATATTATACTATATTTATCCAATATTCATTTCTTCAGTTAAAAGTGACTCCAATTATATGTCAATTGTATATATTAATTTAAATCATCTTTAATCATATATTAATATATCTGCATTTTTACTTTGAAAAGAACAAACAACATAAAAATTAAATAAATCAAAGCAGTGAAATACATAATCCAAGAATTAAAAGTGGCATCAAACTTAATGTTTCCCTTTCAACGACCTGGAGCTAATTGATTCTGTATAAAGTTCAATTATGCGTCTAGTCACCTGCGAGTTCACGAAGAGAAAGTGCATCTGAAGAAATGTGAATAGCCCATGAAGCACTGGATGTACGAAGACGACATCACTCAAACATTCTGCACCTTGCATCATAGAGTGCATTGCCATTTCTAAACCGTTGAAGACCAGGGTCGCCAAGCCGAAGACTGTGAGAATACGTTCATTTATTCCTTTTTGTTCTTTATTATATAGGGTTAATGAAAAGCAAAGTAGGTGAAGGAACTTACGGAGTGCTCCAACCCGAATGTAAAAACTTGTTGGTGCCGTTCTAGATCGCGAGATGTGAGCGCGTTTCAAAGATCCAAACCTGGTTAAGGATGTTCCACCGAGTTCCGCGTCGTCGACCCCGGTTGCACCGGTACCGAGGCTTCCACAACTGTCTACCAATACCCAAATATAGATACTGATGATCACCGCTATACTTCCCACATATAGATACATCAGAAATATGCCCTGAAAATAGAGAAAAATGAGTAATAAAGATAACAAAAATAAAATGATAAAGTAATTGAAATTAAATTTGTTAGAAAATTTGTTAGAGAATACGTAAAGTAATGTGAGAATAAGATGATAAGACTGCCAAAATTTAAATAGAGAAAGACGTCAATTTTTAGCATAGCACAAATGAATGAAAAAGTCTGAGAAAAGAAATATATGTGGATAAGTTAGCAGACCTTCATATATGTATATAAAGAGACTCAAATTTTTGTCTCTTTTTAATAGAATAGTTGATTAATATGAAGTCATCGAAGATAACGAAGATATAATCAGAAAATTTTAAAAATAGATCTTATTAATGAACTTAGAGTTAAAATTTTCTACTAAGTATAAGAAGTGTAATATGAGTGATTATTTCAAAAATTGCATGGTAAAACGTTAATTTGATTTTAATTAAAAAGAAATGATATTAACCTTGAAATCTAATTAAATCTTTCATCCTGCAATAAGCTTTAAAGAAGTAGCCCATCAATTATATTATAAAGATCACATTATATGTTTAAAAGTACTAATATTTCACGTTATATATCATGTTACTTTCTATACCATATTAATTGTCACCGATTTCAATGTTCTACTCATAAACATTATTATACTTAATCGTCACCGTCAATACTTCTTTGAATAAAAGCCTTAATAACCGTACTGAAATATAGCATGAAAATACCTTGAAATTAATTTGCAAACCAACCATAGTCTTTAAAAAAACGTTGAAGTAAATACAACTTGCGCTACATAGCACAGAGTTTCAATGGTAAACCCAATTCTTTGAGTTACGGTAACTCCTAACAACACGTTTTGATTCAAACCGATTTAAAACTTGGTAGAAAAATTTTTATTTCACTCTTCGAAACAATATTGAAGTTTACCTAGTTGTATCTAATGTTCAAAGATTATACGTTGACCTAATATGGGGTCATAGAAAATTACTTGTGATTACCTAGAGGACGTGGGACTACGTGAGACTATTCCTTGAGGTCATAGAATTACGATGTATACGTGGTACATTGCCATCGAACACCCTAAGGTTGTACTGCAAGATTATAGAAATACCCAAGAATCAAAAGACCATGTTGTAGGATCACCATACACTATTGTATAGCTTGGACTACTATACAAGTACAGGATTTTGTTACAAATCATCACAAGATCATGGAATCATATGTGGTACATCAAAAGCTGTATAAAATTGAACTATCCTTGAATCGAAGGATCATGTTACCGATTATCCTAATCTCTCTTTAGATTATCAAGCTGTGATATATCAGACTAAAGTATCATCATTCTAGAACTGTGGATCCGACTGAAATGACCCAACGTTGTCCTAGTCTCTATCTATCAGTATCAAGATCTTACCCAATGTAAGACTTCAGAGAGATCCTACTATTTCTGAGTGGTTTGGGTTAGGTAAACCACCATCCTTTAATGCAGAATTCAACCTTGATATCTATATTTTTACTTTCTAAATAAATATCAGTTCACATATATGGGATAATAAAGCTATTGAGACATGTAAGCCAACATTGAAGAATTAATAAATAAGTAATTCGTGCCTGTACAAACTCATCGTTGTCTCAATGTTCTAAAAACTATAAATGTCTCTCTTCAAGGTACATTAAAAAGATGTGATCATACTAGGAGTAATAGTTGGACAAAATCATTATATAGCCAGCATCGTAGTACCGTTATCTAGACTTGAAATACGAAAAAATCCCAAACGGAACGATCGTGAAACGCACAGAGTAAAGAAGAAAATTCACCGAGTTTTATATCTATGTAAGGAACGAACGTGTCCGTGCAAATTAAAGAGCACGGTGAACGCTACAGGTTCTGTATGGTCGAACAGTAATGATTAACCGAATGCTGTACCTATTTCTTCTCGGATGTTGGATGAAATATTACCGAACGTGGCTATTCCTTTCAAACATTCTCCTCGCGGTGTGTCTCGTGCTGTACATTTGTGCTTTATGGCACGAATGCCTTCTGGCATCTATTCCATTTTGTCACTAAATATTAAATTTCCAATTTTTGAAAATACCAATTATCTGATCAAGCAATAGTGAATTTACACAAATCAATATGAGTCAATTGATTACCCATGATAATTTGATTAGACATTGTTACTCTGTACGATGACGTATTTTCCTAGATAAGATAATAATGAATTTTGAATTTAGTCGTAGAAATAGAGTAACGATTACAATAAATAGAATACTAGAATGCGTCTCTATTTACCTGTAAACTGAGCAAAGGCACAGGTGTATCCATGACCTCGGCTAAACATAGAGCGATCATCAGCACTACGACAAGTTGACCATAAACGTTCGAAAGGACGACCCATAGTTGAGAACTGTAACAATCATCATAAAATCCGACCATCGACCTCAGGATATTCACCTTTTCATTTTTACCGTCAACATAAACTGCATTTACTGTGAGTTTAATACAGCCAGTACTTACGATGCATTATACTAATTGTAAGTTACGATTTTGACCTGTCTCGTATAACATGTGAAAAGTGCCGTAATTATCGAAATTACAACCTTACATGGTGAAACCGGAAACTACTTTCAGTTATTCTATTATGCATCATTCATGAATTATTGTGTATGTCGATGTGTTAAGTTCTACAAACGATCGTAATGTCTTACAAGGGTTCAGAATGATCCAATAAATCGCTTGAAGAGCGTGTCCTAGAAAGGATCCTGGAGACCAGAGACCTAGATGGAGCGGATCGTGATGCTTCTGCAGTCGTTGCCTCGGCCTCTGGATTCCTTTCACCCCTGCTGGGGGCCCCCCCAGGTGCACCCTCCACGGTGCCACCCGTTGTGCTTCCTGTCTCGTTCAGACTGTCCTTATCGTGTTGTTCATTGCTGGCTGAAATAGTCGAAAGCGTAAATAAAATGATTTTAAATGTAAATAAGAAATAATCAGTTGGCAAACTTTTTTTAAATACCCTTTTTAGCCATTTAGACTTTTAATATTGATTAAAAGTTTCGATTGTAGACCTTAATATGTCTTTAATGTAAGTAGTAAAATTACTTAGATTAATTTAATACCAAAATAACTTTTGTTGCTATTTTATTACATATTCTATACTAATATAATATTGAAATAGTTGAAACAATTTTGTATTAATGTAATTTATTTTATTTTATTAATTGCAGTAGAATCATGTTTTTTATATTTTAATTTTCAATCCTTGTTTTACATTGTTTTGAAGTTAGCTCTAGAAAGTCGTATTCAATATTATACTTCTGTATTTTAATATTTTACAAATTGCATATTTAATGATATCCTTTTTTAACTGGAAGCTCATAAATTATAGTTTTAAGAATACTGACATAATACACAAAAGTGCTAAATGTTAATATAAAGAGAATAACGTATAAAAATGAAGATCGTAACATATTCACGTGAGAAAGTATAAGAGAAACTGGAAGGAGTGTGCTAACCACGAAACTCGAGGAGCATGAAAGGTACATCAGATAAGGCATTGTCAGATTACTACATAGATCCGAAAAGTTGCTTATCTTATATCTTCTTAAAGTAATAGAAACAGACTGGAACACAACCCTTTCACTTTCCTCGTTGTACAACTTACCAACTAAAAAATTGGTGATTAATCAATCAAAATACGAATACAGATATTTACATAAATTAAAGTCATTTAAAATTTAATATAATACAGTCAGATTTTCATGGTCAATTAAGAAATTGATAATGAAATTAATAAAAAGTTTTGCTTGAATCGTTTAGTTTCGAAACCTAAGGTTATCGTTATATCAATAAATACTTTGAAATCCAACTTACAAAATAACATTGAAGACGACACACACGTCTCGATGAATTAATATAAACAACCAGCCTTGCAAACCATTCAAAAAGTAAAAATAATAGTAACACAGTTATCAATTCATGGATATTAAAACAAACAGTAAAGCTTGCACAAACATTTGATGCTGAAACGAAACAACCATTAGAATGTCATTCAATAAACCTGAACGCAGCTAAATAAACGTGCACCCAGTCGATAAACAAAATTAATTTCTTAGAAAATGAATGCTTTTATTCTGCAATTCTTGCATTGATTTTTCATATAAAAAAATTACTCTATTCCTTATTTCAAAATAAATTAATCCGTAAATTTACTGTGAAGAAAACAGAACTTATCTTTAATTTAACCTTAAAACTTACATATTACGTTTTATGAACAGCAAGTTTCTTGTTACGATAAAACAGATTCTGGAGCCGGTTGCCCAAATTCCACTTGGAGACCTGCTAATTGTATCCACTCTCCTTAGCCTTTTGGGTCAGTGGAATAATACGAGTAACTTTCGCTAGAGGAATTCGTACATCCAACTGTTCCTTTGGTAATTTCGACTCGAATGATTTAAAGAGGTTCTAAACGCGACGAAACGAATCTGAGAGTTGGAAAAGTCGATTATTTTAGAATTGAATTAATCGATCAAGAAGATACATCTAAAGCATAGATGTATCGAGATTTGGAAATACGATTAGAACGAGCCAAAGGTATAATGAAATCTGCAATAACAACTGAGATTAAAAACGGACTATTTCACGGTTAAAGTACGCAGCTGATTATGAAGAGTCGATAAGGTAGCGAAGTTAATTTCTTCGAAAGCCACCTCATAAATTTGCTAATTGATATAATCGCAGTTCAAATAATTTGTTTTCCACGTTTTGTAATTTTGCTCTTTTATCAATGATTACTGTATAAAATCTTCGCAAGATTAGTTAAATCATTGATAATTAACGGACCTACACCACCATGTAATTTATTCCAGGGAAAATTAAACGTCGCTCTCTAGATAAATGCCATTTTGATCCAGCCGGTAATAAGTTCGAATAGTTTTTCACTGAACTATTCTCGACTGAATTCAAAAGTACCCTAATATAGAAAATTGAAAAGTTCACTTTATTGATATTTATATTTTTCTGTATTTTAAGACGGTGAAAATATATTCTAAAAATGCGGTCGATTTATCCAATTAAATCACAGATGTTCAAAAATCGTCTTTATAACAGGATCCTGTGAAATCCAGCTGAAATTTAAATATTTAACGGAACGACACATAAAAATCAGAATCAAGATTAGTCATTGACTTTCCATTTATTTACCAACTGACTCCATGAACACGAGAAAGCGTCGGTTCATTACCAACGGTAGAATGCTAATTTCGTCTGCATTTCCATTGCCCTAACGTTCAAAGCGATAAACGAGATAGATCACCTAAATCTTTATTATTCCTCGATAGGTATGGAAACCGGTAAAATGAAAAATGATCATCGATGGTTGTAACAGTCGTTCGTAATGGTCCATAATAAATGAACATGCAGAATTGTCGGCTGTTTCAGACTATTGGATAACAAGTTGGGTATATTCCGTTACTTCAAGATACGAAATACTATTATTCTTTGTGTTTGTAGGCGGTCTCAATGCAAAATCAATAGTGTTATTAAGAAATCGCAAGAGAAATGACTCTATGATTATGCAACGTCTAGTGTATGCGAACGTTGAGGTTAGGGGTCAATATTCAACATTTATTTTACGGAAAAAGTTCAGCATTATTGAAGCTGAGATGCACTGTACGAGCATATGATTAATAAAAATGACATAATGATAAAAAGGTCAAGAAACGGTACGAAAAGGAAGAAAATCCATAAGATTACTGTAGGGTTAGATGTCGATAAAAATACTAGTACCATAAGTGTATCGAGGTTACTATTCGATTAAGATCAAAAGATATCTATAGCTTTATCAAAGACAACTGTTATCGCTAATTTATGAGAAAATGATACACATGATATACTTGAATTATAGTCGAATAATATACAGGTATGTATGGTCGAAGGAGGTTATAAGCGTGTCCGCGTAAAATATGTTAAGGTATTCCAGAAGCTTATCTTTTAATCAACGTGCATGCATTCGTACAAATTAACAAATGCACAGAATACCTAGCATAATCTATTACGCTTCCCTGATGATATATGACATCTCATAACGTGAGAGTGCAATTTGAGCAATGGATTAGAGAGGTGTTCGACAATAATAAAAAAAAAATTAAAGCTCTGTTCTGTTTAAGCAAAAATAGTTTACAAATTATTGTTTAAGTGTGTTTTCAAATTATATATTTTAATAATTTATATTATGGATAGAGATGCGTAGTAATAATTTATTCAAATATTTATGATTCACCTTTGATACTTCATATGCAAATTCGAAATTTCTAATCTTTTTAATATGTCAAAATCTCAATAAAATGTATAAATTATTATACTGAAGCCGAAAATTATACACTTAAATAACGAAATTCTATGAGAACTATGTATTATAAAATATGATTGATACAATCTACTGTATAATTTGCGGGAAAAAGTTATACGGAATGTCTATGCAAATTAAATTTTGTTTGTCAGACATAATTTTTTCTAGAATATAATAATATATCAAAAAATAAACATATCTATGTTGGAAACTGTCTTTTTAAAACAAATTAAACAGAAAAAAAAAGCTATTCAACTGAAGTAAATATGTTCTATTAGATAATAATACTGTACAAAAGTTAAATAAAAGTATAAAAGGTGAATAATCTATGATATTTTTTCAAGTTCAATACAAAATTACCAATACCAGAAAATTTATAGAAATTAAATTCTTAAATTTTTATGGCTTATTGCGTATAATTAAGAATTTAAATAATATTAATGCAATAATATAAAATATTATGCTTTTTTAGTGTTCACATATCTACATCGTTTTATGACATGAAACGTGAAATTTTGTGAAATTTCATCTGCATAAAAGATTGAGTTGATACTCCATGAATTCGAAACCGTACGGTTCATCAGGCACAGTCTGCCATTATGTCGTCGGAGAGTTGCAAAAGAAGGTAGAAGCTCGTCTGTCAGCTGGCAGAAGGATTCGAGAAATTGATTTTCTTTTTAATGCGAGGTAACAAAAACCTATACTTCAAGTTTTATTTATCTATCATAAATCATGCAATCAACAGTTCTTAGTATCATTTCTAAGACCTTTTTATTCACAGGAGATGTCTAGTGATGCATTTAGATTATTTTTATTTGAATACTGGATATAAGAAAAACACTTTAAGTAAAATGACAAATAACACGATGAGATGATCGTAAATAAGCACTACTAAAAATACACAAATGAAAATGCATTTAAACACAACAAAGATATTGGATTATCTAATTGTTATTGATCACTGCGTTCAATACTTGGAGTTTTTAACTAAATACCACAAAATAAGTTCCTATAAATAATTCACTTATTGCTTATTATTTGAACACTTAAAAATCACGAAAACAATAAAAATGACAAAAATCTTAAAAACATAGCATACTATATTGATTAATAATTATGTATTAGCTATTTGACATTTATTACTATAAATTACCACATTTGGAAATTCAAAAAAAATCAAGATAGGAATCCCGTTACTTACACCAATGGTATGTAATATTAACGTAAAAAAATTTACCTTGGAGCTTATGTCAAAAGAAAACAATCGTTTTCACAGGTACACTCGAATTACCGTCCATGGTAAACGTTGAAGAGAGTTTCTGCAGCGAAGGTGCACCATGCACCGCGATTTGCAACGGAACGACAAGGTAGAAGTGCTCCAGACACTATCACGAAACGGAATGGATGGTAACCCAGAAGCATGCAGCAAGGAACATATCGACTGGTCTGGGATACGACACGGTGGTGGTGGCCAAGATGATGATGAGGACGAACATGATTATGTCTATGATGATAATGAAGATGACCGCGACGATGATGATGCCGTTTCTCGTAGCCTCGTTTTCAACATGCCGACAGAAGTGCACGA